TTGCAATCATATCACTGTATATCTTGAAGTACTGTGGTTCAAGATGTTCACCTCACAGATACTTGCTGAGTTTGGTCTTGTTGTACCTCTTGTGGCCTTGGGAAGTCTGTCTTCCATCAAAACAGCATGTCCCACCCAACAAGTCTGCTCTGTAGTCAACAGTGTCTGATCAACAGGAATTTGAAGTCGGTTACTTTTGAATTACCTGGTGATGGATTTTAAATGGCATTGGTTCAACTTTTTGATGGGCTATGTTGCTTTATCTAACCTTCAATCCCATACAGAAGATATGAGATGCCAACAGTAAGTTGGTTTTAAATTTGGTTTGTGGCCATCTACCTTGCTGATTTTAACCTGCAGCAGGAATAACATCATGCTTTAAACTTATTGACTTGTGGAACAGATTGCTTCCTGGAATAGTGTGAGCTGGTGTGATTAAAGGTTCAAAAGATATCAATTCCTCAGTAAAATATCCAAAAATGTGGATTGTGCAGTAGTAAAATGATGGTAAACTGGTCAGATGTAAAGGTCTTGAATCTGAAGCAGATTGGCAGTAAGATGGTGATGATATCATCCACTAATGTGAAATACGACTTGAACTCCAACAATATTGAAATTATTCCCCTACAAGCTGCAAGGCAATATACATTACCTGTATATATTTTACATTTTACATGCAAGCTTTGACAAAGTGTGTCCTTACTGTAATATTTGAAAACTGAATTTTGTTCTTCTATAGTGCTGTAGAAAGTGTCCTTATTTGAGTGTGACCTAGGTTTGGTAACAGTAATCGTTTTGTCTGTGTTGAAAAGAATATACTCCCATTAATTAAGATGCTAGAAAACATCTGGATCTAATCACTGTGTGCACACACAAACATAGGGCCTCCACTGGAGACTGCACTGCATGCTCTTCAGTCCCTTGCAATGCCTCAGGAATTCCATATCCATTCAGATGAAATCCAGATTACATTAACCTAGAAATGTTAACTCTTCCATTACACAATGATCAGTTATGATATTCGCTAAACCAAGCAATATGTTGGCATTGTAGAGGTGTTATCGAATAAACTGGGGATGGTATGCTGTGAGTATAAATATTTGTATATGTCCTAGTGCCCTGTGTGGTGTGTTAATTAGTTTCCCTATAACTGTTGTGGGAGGCCATGTGTAGACCAGATGCTTTGCCTGCTTTTCCCCCTCAACTAAAAGTTGCTTATGTTCCCTGGTGCTTGAATACATAAAATTGCATAGAATGGTACAGTACAGAAACAGATCATTACAGCAACTAGTAGGTTTGTTCTCCACATTAGCCTTCCCTTTCTTAATCCCCTTTCCCATACATTCTCATCACTTCTCCCTCGTGTATGCTTTCTGCTTCAATCACAGCTTCCGGTAAGTGAGCTTCACATTGTCACCACCATCTGTGTAAAGAAGTTCCCCCTAAACTCCCTTTTAGATCTGCTCATGACTATCATATTTTGACCCCTTCTTTTGAACAGCCTACTAATGTCCAGATTAACAGTGTGACATTATGATAATCCTGGGACCAGCTTCCTGATAGAGGAGACCTCAAGGCAGAGGATAGTCTTTGACTCAGAGAGTGATGGCATTCTTTGGAAAGTTTTTTTTGTGTGAGCATCATCACTGGCATTAATGTCCTACTTTCGGTTAATTTCTCTTGAAACATGTTGGTTTTCTGCGAAAGAGTCTTGACGACATTATTATCGACTTTGCTTAAGGTGTGACGACTGGGAGTGAGGGTGTGGAAAGATGTTGGAAAGCGCGGGTAAAGATGAAGATCTTGAGGCAGACCTTAAAGGAGGCGAGGGTAGGGACTCTGGGATGGAGTTGAGGGAAGGGACTCTGGGATGGCGTTCCAGAGAGTGGGGGCAGATATGCTGAAATCCTGACCGCTGAAGGTAGGGTCTGTGAAGCAGTCATGCCTGCTGAGTGAAGAGATGGCTGGGTTGGTAGGATTTGAGGAGGTTTCAGAGGTAGGGTATGTCCCATGGAGGGATTTAAAGGTTAGGATGAGGATCTTAAACTCAATCTACTGGAGGACGGGGAGCCAGTGGAGCTGGGCAAGGATGGGATAATGCTCACAGAGCCTAGTGCGGGAAAAGTTTTTTGCTGCAGAGTTCTGGATGGTCTGCAGCTTGTGATGGGAAGAGGGTTAGGGTTAGGCGAGCAGAGAGTTGGCATAATTTAGCCTGGACCCGATGGATGCTTGGATAGGGTATTGGCATCAACTTAAATGTGATAACTCCACATGCTATAAAAGCTGAGATCACAGTATCATTGCATCAGTCTGAGCTGCACAATATTATTTTAGTAGCTAGCTTTCAGTTCCCTATTGCTGGCTTACTTCGCCACGGTTGTACAAAAAGTTTGTAAACCTGAGTACAGGTTTTAGCAGCCTACATTTATTTTGATGCTCCAGACTCTTATTATTTACCTATGTAATTACACAAACTGGTCCAATGATGGGGTTGAGGGAGAGAGGGGGAAGGGACCATTTAATCCAATTTTGCATTTGATGGCAGAAACCCTCCTCGCTTCCCCTTGGGGCTGTGAGTACTGTACAAACATCTGCTGATTTAAGCTGTAAAATTGAAAAGTGGTTTCTGCATTGGCACGGCTCAAACTATCTGCACAAATTGTTGGGAAGGAGGAAATGATGGTTGTCTGTAGATTTTGTGGTTAGAGGGAGGGGGGGGATTACATTCTGTGTAAGGTCGTCCTGACCCAAACTGAATGTAATCTGTAATTGTGGGTGTGCAATTATAAATGAGGGGTTTGCAGACAAGTTGATTTGTATAGACGAATAAAAGTGAGAGAGACCCATGTTAAAGAGAGGTAGACACCCTAAAGAAGCAATTAAGAACAGCCAGAGTGCAGTGTGGTTGTATGCGTGGTTCATTACTTTTCTTATGACTCAGGAGATTACTTTAACATTTGATGAATGAAACGCAGGATAGTCTTGCCTTGCACATGGGACGTTCTTCACTTGGAATAGAAAACATTATATTCGTGTGGTCAATAATTTCATGTGGACCTGCATATTGTATAATTTTTTGCCTTTTGGTTTCGTGCCTTGGCTCAAGGGCACATCAAGAGTTTGGCTGCAATCAAACTTCAGATCTTTAGTACAATCCACTTTGGTTGAAAGTGTTGGTATAAAGCAGACCTGCCTCATTGATTAATTTTGCATAGCATTGATTCAAGCTCTCATTTTATAATAGAGTAATTCCAGGAACCAACCCTTGTAAATCCTGTATACTGAGCCCCAATCTCTGTGTACACTGGGCAGCTTCACAAATCCACTCTTATTATTCCAATGTAACAAACCCAGACTGCAGCAACACAACCCATGTGTAACTGACTTTCTAAATTGTCCTTTAGATTTTTTTGAGGGAGGGAGATCCGATTGTATTCCTTTCTGAACCTTTAGCAGACATTTAATCTATGTTTTTCCAAAATGCTTTAGATGTTGTGGAGCAGTGAGTTAGACTGGTTGCTGTAATCGTGCCTGTAGGCTCATTGAACTGTTGTGTCTCATCTGGCAATCAGTAACTTATCCTTGGATTGGATATACAATCATATCTACTGGACTTAATCCTACAGAAAGTACTTATAACCACATGCACCCTAATTTTGTTTTGCTCTGCCTCCAGTCTCAGCTTGCATGTTTTGGCCTGAGCTGCTTTCCCCCAAAATGCCTCCATCCCTGTCCTCTACCCTGCACCATTCCCACTCAGTCCTACCTTCTCTCCATCCTCCTCGTCTCCTATTCCCACTTGACCGACCCACAGACTCCCTCTGCTCCAGCCTGGGAATCCTCCGTGATATCACCGTAGTACTCGCTGTTGGCTGTCCAGCAGCAGAATCGAGACCCTCCTCTTCAACCGCGCCTTCGGGCACCCTCCCTGCCCTCCACCCCCACTGATCCCAAATCCCTGACTGTCCAGCATCTTGAGATATCCTCCCAACGTGAAAATGTAATTTGTTGTTGTTTTGGGAGAGATTTCTTCACTGTTGAACAATGAAAATAATTGGGGCCAAATAACTTAGTTTTCCAATAGCTGGGAATATTTTGTTGTAGAACTATGATTAAAAATGCAAGTACTCTATATTAAATTTTCAACCAATTTTGTCAACTTAATGGGCAAAAAAACAAATGTTAATATAATTCCAACAAGTTGAAAACCCACAAGTTTCAGTTGGGTGGTGCATCCATCAGTGGCGATCGCAAGATAACAATAATTTGAACTCCTGATTTTTCCCCGTCCTATTGTTGGTTATGACCTTGAGCACATTATTGGGCCTGCTTTGTTTGCCAAAATCAAAATAAGATCAGCTGACCTGCGTCTTCAGCACTCACATCATTTGCGTCAATGGGAAAACAAGCACCCAAATGTGCTTGTTTTCCACTGACGCAAGCGATGAACTATTATTGTATGGCAGGTTTTATAACTGTGGGAATATTTTTGCCGTGTAATTTCTTTATATCTTTATCCTCGATTTTTAGTTGTTATTCACCTCCCTCAAGATCTAAATTTGGGAGAGCATCTCACACTGCAGATTGGGAATGGTTCATTGAAATGATTGGATTCCATAAACTCAATAAGTTTTACTCTTTCTGATAATAGAGAAACTCAAAATTTCTTCTCATATATCTCTGATATAGGCTGACCTATTATAATTGGTCATTTGAGTCCATAAGCTCAAACCCCATGTTGTAACAGGGAGTGCTATAAAATGGTTGCTTCTGGTGTTAATTCTTAAGATGGCAAGTGGTCTTGTGTTTCCAGCATTTGCAAAGATACCACTTGATACCTTGCTTATGCGCTAAGTGCAGGAAGCCAAGCTCCAAGCTTATACACATGGATGAATACTTTAGTTCTGCAGTAAATCTTACAGCAAAATATCTGAGCTTGCAGCATGAATCATCCTCTCCTAAACCAAGAAGCTCATTTTCATTTTGTAATATGATTGCAGGAGGTTCCCACAATGACAGAAGGCATTACAATGTTCGGACGCCAAGGCATTTGAGTGAAGAGGAAATGAGGCAGCAACGACTGAACCGATTTGCCAGATGATTTTGTTTCTCGCCCCTTGTGGATGACTTGTGTCTTTTGTTGGGTGCCATATTATTGCCATTTGCACTCTTGCACTTTTCTTTATAAAACCTGTTTGCTTCTCTTTAGCATTGGGGACACTATTGTCCATTTTATTTGAATATGCATTCTTGGTTGAAGAACTACACAAAATGTGTAAATATATTTAGTTAAGCACTCCATGGACTGTTCAGAGCAGTGAATTATTGACTTAAATTGTTAAGTTTACATCTCTCTTTTAGCCTGTAAGTCTCAGTGAGGATGTCAGTGTCAGAGAATGAAGCTTTCCTCTAAAGTACAACTCCTGCTGTCTTGGATGACGGTCATTGATAATATCTAGAGGGTTCCAGAGGCTGGAAGATTTTACCTTTCCAAATATGGAGCAGCATATTCCAGTAGAGGAGAGCAGAAGGGATTACAGGAATAAAGGAAAAATTTATATTTTCTTACGATCATGATTATGTTGGGCATACACAGATCTATGTGGGAGATAACACTGCCACAATATGTGGGGGTTCTCTAGCCGATACATGTTTCTATCTTTAAAGGCTTATTTTTGTTTTTGATATATTTTATTAATTGGATAACATAGTGTGAGGTGAGGTAGCAATAGGGCGGGAGAAGAGGAGGGCAGGGCAGTGTAACAGCAGCACACACTTTAGCAAGTAAATGTATAAATAAAAAAAGTTTAAACCGATTCACATGCTGTTAGGTAACTCTAATGTAACAAACCTGACTGTGGCCCACTTCTCCCCATTCAAATAGAGGTTGATAATTAGTGGCTTCTAATATTCTGAGCTGGATTAGGGAAGTATATTCTTTGCTATTAATGGGGCAGAGGACAGTGACTTTTTCATGAGTTATCTGCCAGAGCTTGAACTTGTCGCTGAAAAAAGAGATGAGGAACAGCTTTCTCCTAAAGATTTAGAAAACAATGCAGGAGCAAGATACAGTACACAGGCCATGGTTTCTCTTTACTAGCGTAATGTACAATGAGAAACTCATCCAAATTATTGAACAGATGATATTCATGTCCTTTGTACCATGGATATTCTTAATGAAACCCAATATTGTTGTAAAGCATTCGATTGGAAGATGGAAAACAAGATCACAAGACCAATATCAAATAGGATCTGTATTTGTACATGAATGTAGGCATCTTACAATCTATAATTCACTCTGTCATGTTCGAAAGTCATCTTTGGAAAATCAAACATTTCAAAATGGTTTTCAAATATAACCTTATTCTGTGATGATATAAGCTGCGTATTCTACCTCAGTAACACTTGAATCTTGGCTCCAAATTGAATTTTCTTTTAACTACAGCTTCCTAGCCCAACTGAAAAAAAAATAGATCAGAGTTATAACCAAACCAACACAGACTGATCAATATGATGTCACAAGGCAAACCTTTCATGTGGAAGAGAAACATTCTCATGAGCCTTAACCGTCTTAAATAATGTGTGCCTTTCTAGCTTTCTGATATTACATTTGTATTCAATAAATTCAGTGTGCAGTCAGTAATACCAGTAAATGTGGGTCAGGGAACAAGATAGCAGTTAAAATGAAACACTGAGCTGTGGAGCTGGAGTGTAACAGTCAGGGTTTACTCCTTTAACCACATCTAAAGGACAAAATTACAGAGATGTGCCAAGTTTCCTGATTTAGAAAATCCTTTCTTTTCAAATTGAGATAATTTGGTCGCTGAGCTTCAAAGACAGTTTGTAATGTAACTAGTATTTTGTAAGCACTTTGCTTTTGTATTTTTGGAGGGAGGAATACAAATAAAAAATATTACTGCAACTGGAGCCATGTTGTCTGAACCACCTTGTAAATCTCTTCAAAGAGGTACTTTAAAAATTCCAACGTTTACTAGCCTTCTTGCTAACGCACCGCTTAGATGTGTGATGCACACAATCCAGTCCATGCAGTGTATAGTGTACCCATAGTGCGGTTACTCCATAGTGTAATCATTAAGGTTTAAGCTGCAAATATGCTGTTTTGTGTGTCTTGTATCCCACAGCTTGGAATTACAGGTATTTTGCAATTACTGTACATGCGTAATCCATTGATTGCTCCATGTATAAAATGGCACACATCTTTAACTACCTGCAAGACCTGCTTAATTTGTTGGGCAGGGGTACAGGGGAAACTTAAACCCAGTTTAATCAGCACTGGTAGATAAGCTATACCTATACATGACTTACTGGCTGCAGTCACAAAGCACAGCACCTGCATTGAATTAGATTAGATGATTGCACAGTATTGATTAAATCAGATTTTATATGATGGTTTATGGCATACTACATACTAGTTTTGGCTAGTAATACTTCTAGAGATAAATGCAAGTCCAATGTATAAATCAGACATGTCAGATATCGCTTCCCAATTTTGCAGTTAATGTTCTTGGGCATCCTAGTGTATGAATATACAAATTGTGGAGAAAATAATGATGTGTGAGACCCTCATGGATACACAGACCAGATTTTACGATTTATGCAATTCGTCAAGAGTGTCCAAACCTTAAGTGTCCAAACCATTCATAGTTCCACGCATGTATGTTGTCTACACAGATACATTTCTGTAGTCTCTGGAAAATGCTTTGAGATATTGACTATTATATTTGAGGGACTCAGCTGATTATTCAACATATTCAGTAACGTATGGTTCTTATCCTCAGAGTTGCCTTCTCTTTAGTGCATCATAACTTTTGCCAGTTTCATGGGTTCTGTATTTGATGGCACTATTTCTTACAACAGTGAAGAAAAATACTGCCTGGAGCATTTCATGTGCAGTAATGTTCCATTCCATTTACAATTTATATTGTGGGATAGATGGTATAATGTAACACTTCATTTAATTGTTGCTGTTCTCCATTTCCCACATAGTGTTAGGCCTAGGTCTGTCAAACAGGACCAGGGATAGATCAAAACATCAACTGTTAGGGTGAAAATCAATTTAAGTTAAGCCAAACAGCTATCTTCTGTATTTTAGCACAAATATTGTTGTAGGCATGTATGATGGTTTCAGTAGCTTCCATTGTCTTCCACTGCTATTTCTAATAAATGTATGCTATTTCTGCTAAAATTTGAATCAACTATATGATTCAACAAATATAATCAGTGTCTCAAAGCACTTCACAGATACCACACAAATGTACCCGTGTAGACAGCATACATATGTGGAACTACGAATAGCTTGGTGACATATTCCTGATATATATTTCTACATCTGCCAGACACCCAGCTAACCCCCAAAAAGATTTGGAACACTCCCAGAGCAGATAGAGCTTGATTATGTGCAGAGTAAAGCTCCGTCTCCTGCCCCAACAATGTGCCTTTCCCCCCACCCCGCAACATTTTCCATTTGTAACACCAGTTATTCTGTGGCCTCTGAGGAAGGTTGCCAAATTGCCAAGCAACAAGCACTGTTTGTACTGTGAGCTCCCACCCACAAGGAACTTAGTTGAGGCTGTCCAAATTCTTTTTGCATAGAACTTCACAACAAACAGACAGACGAGACTTTTAGCCCATCAGTCTGAGTTGGATTCAAACACAAGTCCTGGAAGCTTAGCTCACAATTGCCACCCAGACTTTCGGCCTATTTTATGAAGTTTATCAATGGCTACCTTGAGTCTTGCCAACTTCATCAACTATGTACTGTGAACTATGAGCTGAAGGATGATGGCAGCACATAACAGCACTCAGTTAGTTAGACTGTGTGTCTGAATATACGGAGTGTTTATCTGAGGGAGGAGTTGGTGACTGAGTGAGAATACTCAAAGAACTAGCATTAGATTTACCTCATGACATAATTCTAAGTAAATGCAAAAGAAATATCTTTCCAATATAAAACTTTCCCCTGTGTTTTTTAGCCTTTAAATCATTGCTTAAATAAAAAAAAGACTGTTCCAAAATCCAGTTTTGCCTGTAATAACTGCATTTGTTGTGTCATTTTATTAAGTTCATAATAATGTTATAATAATGCTTGCCTTTATAGTTTATTCATAAGGCAAAATTTTAAGCATTTTGCAAAATTTTAATAAGTCTTTACTCAAAATAGTAAAGGGTTAACTATTAAATTGTGAGTGTAAGCATACTAAGGCCAAACAAAAGCATTGTGTATGGCGCCAAGTCATTTTGCCACCAGTATTGAGTAGGTTTCCCTTGGCACAGCACACCGTTTGGCCGTCTGCTGAATGAAAGCCTCTTAGATTGATGCCCATATTGTTGTCTTTCACAGAAGCCTGAATAGCCACATTTGTACAGTAAATTGCTTCTAGTAAATGAGGCGTACAAGTCTGTAAAAATCGTGCTTTATTCTGCCTTGACTCTTGACATCTCCAGAGAATTTTATGAACTGGGAGGCTTTTACAAGAACTCATTGGGCAGATCATTCATGACGATAAACACACTGAGAATGAGGATATTTTCAGTCGTGCTAACCAGATAATTCTGCATCTATCAAGGCCAGAGGCCCCACATTTCTCATGGCCTGGGCCTTGAGATGATTGTCTTAAAAGTTAACACCATGCAGTAGTGTGAAAATGCCTGCAGAGAAACTAGATCTGAATTCAAAAATTTTCAGAAATTCTGTGTGATGTTAGTTTTAAGCCCATGGTCTTCAGCTTAAGAGAAATGCCAGGTGCTACTGCTGCAATGCTATGTCGGTTATAAACACATTGGTTCCAATGTGGCCAGCAGCTTTTCTGCAGTGAAGGCTTTGTTGGAGATGCTGTTGGGACAACAATGCTAAACTTTGCCTCATTTAGTGATTCTATGTCAGTGTTTTGGCACCTTGAAATCTATCTGCTAGAGGGACAGTGGAGCTTGGTGAAGGCGAGGGTCAAGGTGATGAGCACCTGGAGTCTTATTATTACTATTCATTGCCTTATCTGTAAAACAAAAGTACAATTACATCTTGTAATTGAGTCGTGGAGTCCTGTAGCTCAGTGGTTAGAGCACTTGCTTTGCAAGCGAGAGACCCGAGTTCAATTCCAGGCAGAGGGCGAAACCTTGGGCAAGTTTTCTTACTCGACACGCCTAATAATAATCCCTCGAAAACCAAAAACAATAATAAATTGGTCATTTTCAATCCACGACTGTTTGTGGGACATTGCTGTGCGCAATTGGCTGCCGCGTTCGCCCACAAATAGGCAGTCAATTCACTTTACAGTGTCTTCTGTGAAGCGCTTTGGACGTCCTCCCGACGTGAAAAGCGCTATATCAAATGCAAGGATTATTATTATTATTATTTATAAGCACAGCATTCACTAAAATGAAGGGGAGAACTTTCAGGCAGTCACCTTCCCATCAATGTTATCTGTTACGGTAACTTTTTTCTGTACAACAGAGGCTTTAGGATACCTGAAAGCAGCATGAGGCAAACAATATTGTGGGGGGAGGTATGGAAATCCCTTTTAAAGTGAAGCAAATGAACAGCCGAGTGTGGCAGAGGCTACAAGCTCCTGAGTTCTGGATGAGGGAGAGCTGCTACATAGAGTATGATGCTATTGAGATGGATTCAAGAGGAGGAAAGGAGGACGGTCGTGTCAATATAATAATTAAATTGTGGAGGGTTTACAGCAGCGATTGTATGCACAGTGAGAAATGTAGCCTGGATGGACCAAATGGCTGTTCCTGTCATATTTTTACGTTATAACGTTCCTAATCCCTTCTTATTTTCCATTACCAGTTTATGTTGCTCTCCTTCCTGTATCCTTTTACATGCCACTTATTGGGTAAAATGCAGGAATTCCTGCTGATGTACAAAGACTGCAATTGAGGAACTCTGAAGTTTGGCTTTGAACGTGGGGTTTTGGTTTATGTGATCAGGAGCCACGTTGGAGCTACCAGCTATTTCTTAGTAATGATATAAAGTACTTGTGAAGTGTCCTCTATGGGTATCTTGTGCCCTCTGGTGGCAGCACAGGCTATACTAGACTGAGTGGATCCTTTTGCAATTAATTTGCAGCCAGGAGGAGATATTTCTACCTTGTCTGGTTTAATGTTTACTAAAATAGTCAGAAATACTAAATATTTTGTTGTTGTGTTTTATACAAGCACATTGTACTCTCCAAAAACAAATGTCACTCATTCCACAACTGTTTGTGGGACACTGCTGTGCGCAATTGGCTGCTGCATTTCGCCCACAAACTACACTTTACAATATATTCTGTGAAGCGCTTTGCGAAGTCTCAATGATGTGATGAATGCACATGAATAAAACAATCCTAAAATGATCAAGCCATCAAGCATCCCAGGGCCTAAATTAAACTGAAGAAACATCACGGGTCTAACACACATTGATCAGTAATTTTATTACATGTTCATAATGGGATGAATGGGTCACCAATGTTAATGATAAATATGTATTATAGTCAGTGTGACAAAGTACTTTCCTGCGGATATGAAATAATGTATTTCCAGCAGTAAGTAAGGTAAAGAACTGCCTGCATTTCAATTATACTAATGCGTAAACGACTTTAAAGCACCCTTTGAAATTACAGCCATATTCTGTACCTATAGTATCTGGCATTAGCTTTCTCTTTCTAAAATAGAAAAACGCTCAGGTTCAATGGCTGTGTGCCAGCATCTGGTGCCTCCTACTTTGTACAGCCAGTCGATAAGTATTGGCAGGATATTCAACTGTGAGGGCATTACAGCCGAACCCGTTACTACTGTCCTCACTCGACCTCAGTTGAAGGACACTATATAAAGGGCAAATAGGACACCCAGAGTTTCATATATAAGGGTGTTGAATATAAAGGGCACGCTGAATCTATATCAACTTTGATTAGTCTGCAGTTAAAGCCTCATTAATGAAAAACTATCAGAGCATGGAGAGGATACAGAAAAATGATACTTAACACTTAAAAACTGATGCTGTATTCAATGGAGCAGAGAAGGTTCAGATTAGGACAAATGATGTGTTCAATATTATGAAAGGTTAAATGGTGAACATTTATTTCCATTGTTGTTGGGTCAGTAATATTATTACTAGAAGCATGGGGCAGGGGGTGTGGATGTTAAAGAAATGTTTTTACGTAAATGGTTAAAAATAGTTAAGAAAGATTGGAGCACATTTCCACGCGTAACTTTTGAAACCAAGTCATTTAGATGAAACACATTTGTTTATTAACAACAATAATCATTGCATTTGATATAGCACCTTATAACATCGTTGAGATGTCTCAAAAGACTTCACACAATATATTGTAAAGTGGATTGATTTTATTTATGGCCAAAAGGGGCAGCCAACTGCTCACAGCAGTGGCCCACAAATAGTCATGGGATTGACTGACCAACATTGTTTTTGTGGGATTATTACCTCTGGAAAGCGATCCGTCAATCAACTAACAACTAAGTTCTACTTACTGCTGGGTAAACAGAGGCATGTGGTGTAAATAAACTTGCCTAACATTTCGCCCTGTCCAGGAATCGCTTGATGGGCGAGAGTGCTAACCTCACCACCGGATTAATTAATAATAAATATATATGTGAAATTCCATCCTAGTTTATATTTACTCTCTGTAGCATTTTACTTTATGCAGAGTTTGGCAAGTTGCTGAATTCATTTTTAATTTCGAAGTCTGTTTTCTGCAGTTCTTAAAAGAAGTTACAGACATCCAGGCACGATAGGGCGAATGGATATTTTTTTTAAAAAGGCGTCAAATCACCCACAATGAGTTATGAAAATGGCAACCTTCTTTGGATTCTGGTCGCTTGTATTTGACTGCATCTGAATTCTGAAGCTTTGCCCACAGTTCAGGGTCAAGTGGATTGTGTGCTTAAATTGCAATAGATAGTGATTCCTGAACTTCAGCAGTGGAGACGGTAAACCAATAGGTCACAGCCATCAAAGTCAATACTTCTGCAACAGGATATTTTATGTGTTGAAAAAAAATGCGTATATTAATCCATACACTCTGGTTAGATTGACACCTGTGATCAGTCACCACCCAGCTATTGGTTATTTTGTTATAAGCAGAGTCCACTACGACATGAAAAGTATTTTTCCTTTTTCAATTAAGAAACTTTAGGTGAAGGATCAAGGCCATTTTGCAGGATTTCAGAAGGTTGAAAAGATTAGGAACAATCATACAATAATCCTTGTATTTTGTATTTCATGTCGGGAGGACATCTCAAAGCACTGAACATGAAATACTGTAAAGTGGAGTCACAGTGCTTTGTGGGTGAATATGGCAGCCAACTTGCCCAGAACAGTGACCCACAAACAGCCACCATGTAACTGACTAATTTTATCTGGCAGTTTGTCGGCCAGGACACTAGGAGAAACTCCATTTGCTTTTCGACTAGTGCCCTGAGATCTTTAACATTTACTTTATCTTTAATTTTACAGTGAAAACAACTCGCTACTTATAATTCCACCCTCTCAGGTGCACATCCATGACTGTCCAGCACTTTAGGACATCCTCCCGACATGAAAGGCACTATAGAAATGTAATTTGTTGTTGTTGTTAAGAGCCTTGGAGAGTTGATTCATCCCATTAGTCTGGCTTGGTATCAGATGCAGGAACCTACAGTTGTAAGTGCAGCATGCTAATAACCCTCTTCTCTTTATCCTGATGGCTGCATTTAAAATTGTAACACACAGACACCAACAGATGTGACTCAAATAAAATGACACATTGATCTGCTTTACTCTCGGATCTTTTAAATCTCTCCTTTTATTTAATTTACAGTCAATTTGTAGCAATAACAGTTACCTCAGTGTTTCGAGCTAGCCAGTCTCTTAACATTTTAATGACTTCAAATAAAATTCCTAAATAAGGAAAACAGACAGGATTTTCATTTCAATCTGCTTTCCCAATCAATGCAACTTTAAACGCTGACACACGAATTCGAAAGCAAGCTTAACCACCATTTTATGTGCTTGTCAGATAGCATTAAATACTGCAGCTGGCTCTGCACAACGAGAGCACAATAACAAGAGAGGAAATCCATGTCTTTGGTAAATTAGGAATTCAAGATTTTTTTTCACTTAACACACAATTTTTGTACATTGTAAAGGAAAAATATTAAGCTTTTGGAAACATCCACAGAATAACCTAGAGCTTGAAAAACCAACAAAATAAACTGTAAATCGTATTCTGTTTGAGATCTTGGTACAAAATTGTTCCTGCTGCTTTCAAAGCCCTAGTCATATCCACATCACCAAGATACTATTGCACTATTTTTTTCATTGAGGCAATGTGGCTTACACAAAATGTATACATTTCAGTGAAGTTTTTGGTTAGCACTGTGAAGATAAAATTAAAATAAAGCTCCGACACTCAAAGTGTGGCAAACAGAAAGTTTCTTTCAATTTAACTCACTATTTTGAGGGTGGGGGGGATCAGATGTCTTCAAGATAAGAGATTTATTGCTAGGAAATTGAACACTTTTTCCATTTACGGCTCTCAATAGCAACATTATACATGTGACATGATTAGATTGGGTGAAGCCTCCCTTTCCTCTACCACCTCAATTGTGTGTATCTGCCCCAAATCCAAAAACCATTCCTTACCCCTTACGAACTGTACCAGTCTAACATTTCTATTTTCCATATCACACATACTCCTGGTCTCTATGAATGGTATTGCCAGTTTAGTGCACAATTAGGGACAGTACGTACTATTGCATTGAAATTTACTAACTAATTCCACCTCAGATCTTTCATTCATCACTCTGGGCCGCTTTGAGGTGAAGGGGCAGTAACCTCATCACTACATTATCTCTCTCACCTCTTTTGATCATCCATAACCAAATTCCCTCAATCGATTGCTTTAAAAACAGTGAGCTGTTGAATCATTCGGAATGTTTATTGTTAACATTAGGATAAAGTTACAACAGAATTTCATTCGTGCAAATGGTTTGCATCGACAAGCTAAATCTTGCTATCTTAATTTTTTGGAGCTGTGAACAGATGAAGAAAAAAGAAACAGATCCCCAATCATTTTAGATATAAATACATATCTACAAGTTAAATTTATCTGAATAATATTGATAAGTAACTATGTTTGAACAGAATTTACTCATGTTCTTGTATTCATTGATTACTGTGAGCAGACTAGTACTGGCATTGCAGCTCAGTCTCCTGTTGATTCCCTCCCCCCCACCACAGTTTAGTGTATGCATAGAGGGTAAAATTAAATGAGCGCCTTTACCCATTAGATCAAAGCGCTTTGAGACATCTAGAAGACGTGATAAGGTGCTATATCAAATACAGAGATTATCATCATCATCAGCTTCTTTTTGGTAAAGAGTCTTAACACTCCTCTTTCTCACATTCATTCCTTATGCAGACTCGACACCGACTGATTCTCCCTCTTTGTTCCATGCTAAGAGTCTCTGAAAAGGCAGGATTACTAAACTGCTCGTTTGATCGCACTATTGCTAGCCAGAAGCTATACTTGTTGGCAAAGAAGTGGCAAGTGCCCTGAGCTCCCTGGCACTCGATAAATGGTAGTGAGTGGAAATCCTCCAGGCAGCTCCCAGGTGACATCAGAGATTGACCTCCTCCTCCGGTGCCTGCTCCTGTGTGCTACAATGGGAAGATGACATTCAATCCTCTGAACTGGGAATTTAAATGCTTAACATTTCCTACATGTACTCTTTGCTGCCCTTTTCTTTGAGATGGAATCCACCATCCATCATCTCCAATTTTTGGAGAGTTTCACAATACCATTATCTCATTTCCCAATCAAGAAAAAAGGAAGTGGACAGGAAACAAGTTTTCAGGACACAACAACAATTCAAAATACAAAATCACATTTACACAGCCCTTTCATGTCGGGAAGATGTCCCAAGGCGCTGGACAGTCAGGAATTTGGGCCCAAGCTAGAGGCTGGGATCAGGAGGGGTGGAGGGCAGTGAGGGTAGAGATAGGATGGTGACCAAAGGTGCAATCGAAAAGGAGGGTCTTGAAGGACGTAAAGGGAGGAAGCAAGGCAAAGGGACTGTGGGATAAAGTTCCAATCAAGTCACACTCATTGATGAACTAGCCCCCTAGAGGTGCAATATGGTGAGCAGAACAACTCGGCCTCCAATTTCACTTCCTCATGAGGAAAAAATGCTTTGTTTCTGTTCAGTGAATACCAGAGACAATCAACCAAGAACAGAAATGTATACTGTGGAAAAGAGATTTTTCCACAGTGCTCATTGATAGATTCCAGTACTTTGCCCCCATGGATCTGTAAGTCAACATGAATTAGTGCAAGCATGATTATGACCACAAATAGCAAGCCAGTGAATAAACTAATGAATAATAAGTTAACAAAATGCCCAGCGACTGCCAGGATGGTGGAAGGTGAACTAGATGGGCCTTGGTCTTCTTTCACCTAGCAAATTCTTAAGTTCTTAATAAAATTCTGCTCACCATGAAGAAAGAGTATCCGGCCCAAAGACTTCTCCATCTTGATGGACATAAAGGAATGGTCTCATCCTGGCTATGGACAGCCACTGCAACAGAAGATGCCTCACACACTGAACATCTGCTGATGTAAGGCTCTATCTCTCGATCAATGAGTGGCTTCCTGGGCATAGGTGCGGTGGTAGACAACCAATAGGATTTGTCATTTCTATTGGCATAGTGACAAACGTCATCAGTGGTGCAATACGCAAATGGCATTGTACTGAACATTGGCAAACAAGAGCCAGCTAGACCTGGGAGAATAACAAGAATGCAATAATGGTTATCAATAAGTATGTGACAAGACTGTCGAAGCAACATAATGAATTGTCCTAAAAGCTAACTTATCTGGAGGGGGTCATTGAGCATACACAAATGGATAGTTTTGCTTTTCAACTGCCAAATTTAGTGACAACAGTTCTGGATGTAGTTTACCATTCTTTGCCCAGAAACAGCATCAAACACACTCCGAACATTTGTGGGAAGATTTCCTAATCATGTGATGGAAGTTCAGTATGTAAAAGGCACGTAGATGCAATGTGAATTATATGCTTATCCTGCGCAGTTTGAAAACAAAAGCATCGCACAGTTTTCTACTCAAAAAGATCTCAAAACTATTGAACTCCTTACCTCCCCCAACCTTTCCTTCCTTCCAAAATCTGTATTATTTTAAAAGCCCAAATCAATGTCACTTATTCACTAATGATTTCATCTTCGATTTGATTCAAGCTCGAACTATGGGTCTTTGATTTTCATTTAGTCTATGTTTTTTTGAACATATGAATGTAATGTTAAGGAAGAAGAATGTACAATCAGCTTTAGATTGTCCTGAGTGAATGAGCAAGCTATTTCTAAGGAAAGAATAGGTTTCATGTTCTTATATACTCATGTTCTGACCCCCATCCAAACCATCCATTGAAAGGACCTGATTTTGTGGGTAGAGGGTAAACAATACTCATCAACTTTACATTACTGTGAAACATTTTGTTCAACTAATTGAACAGGCATTTTAGTTATTTTCAGTTTGAGTAGAATTGAGTAGAATCACTAACTAAAATGTAATATATTGTAAAAGTTGAATGGGTGAGTTTATATTATGAAAAGTAATATATTGTCTATACTTACCAAGATCTTGACTGTGAGACTTTTCTTGACCTTCCAGATAAAGCAAACTATACCCATGCCAAAGACTAGGCATGTTTTGAGGACATGAGGGTATCCTGTCCGTTTGACTATGTGTTACAAGTAGGAACCCACCAGCAGAACCACATGGTTTTATCTGGCCTGGAGGCCCTTGAATCCCACAGGGACCTGAAATGTAGAATAAATCATTTGCATTTTTCAACACATTTCAACACATAAGACTTTGGTGGCCGAACATTAAAATCATCCAAAATGGACAAAGCTTCATAAATCCACTTAATACGGTAAAAGCCCTGTTATATTGTGCATTGATTGAGATCTGGACCTTGATGTTCACTGGCCAAGAAACCCAATTTGCATCTCTGGACTGGCTCGCTTCAAACCGCCGGCTGGCTTTTTGGATGCCAAAGAAATAGCCAACGTCCAGGTCATTACTTCGCTCAGGGCAACTTGATAACAACAACAAAATTATATTTATATAACATGTTTCACGTAGTACGGATGTCCAAAGGCACTGCACAATTAGGGTTTAGTATTCTAAAAAGTTAAGATAACGGAAGTCATTCCAGAAAATGGCAAAATCAGGATGAATACATTCAAACTCGAAGCATAAAGGAATGGATGATTTTTCATTAAGAATGTATTTCTCCCAAGTTGACACAAGGTGCCGTTTACCAATAGGATCTTCTCTTACCCCGATCCCCAACCATTCCTCGACTCCCGCGAGTGCCTGGATCTCCTGGTATCCCAGGAAGGCCTGGATAACTAGGACCTGGTTTTCCAGGTTTCCCAATTTTGCCTCTGGATCCTGTAAACATATGCATATAATTACTCTGGATGTTTATCCAAGGCGTGATGAAATATGGTTAATAATTACTCACGTCTCCCATCACCACACTTGAATATGTCCCTCAGCTACACGGAGTAGCTAAGAGAAGGCTAAATGTGACAAAATAATGCTTTATTGTCCAATTATTTTCATCGGTTTTCTTTATAGCTATTAGATTTTAGTAAATTTTATAAAAATTAATAACATTCAGGAATGGAAAACATTTTTATTTTTTGATCCAGTATCCAACAGTGTGCATTAACCCTAACTTAATACCAGCATCCCTTACTGTACATTTCTGAGGAGGGTATGAGCCCCACCATATACAGTAGTAGGGTAGGGGACACCACCCAGATTGTTTATTTCCACCTCTTGAGGATTTCTGCTCTGTTTCTATTGCACGTCCAACAGTACTTTGCCATGATTTGCTATCACATGGCATGCAATTAGGATAAACTAGCTCCATATCCACTTTGTTTGAGTATCCACCCACCCACAATCAAGAGCCCTTAAAACGCACCCATTACCTGGAACGCCATCTAGACCAGGGTGTCCCACAGCCCCTTTTGATCCTGGAACACCTGCATATCCTGCAGGTCCTTTATCTCCTTTATAGGCATCCATATTCAGACAGGGTTCAGGAATAATTGGACTTGGTGAACCTGTGACTCAACACCAAACAAATAATAAAGATCACAAAACACATTCAGATTAAAAAAATTGGCTCATTTGACCTCATCTTTCCAGAATACTAAACCTGCCGTCTTGCCATTATACCATCAAGTTACTTTTGAATGAGTCCAGTTCCTGGTTTCTTCCTTTTAACCCATTCTAACTGTCGACTACTTCCTATGTGAAGAAATACTTCTTATAATCTCTCCTACATTCACTTGCCCTTAACAACCCTGAATCTGTGTCATTTTGGCTGGCTGCTTTGTGTATCTGAAAGAATTATTCTGGATTTACTTTATTCCGTTAATCATGTGACATAATGCTAAAAGGTCCCCTGTGAAACATCTCTTTTCAAGCTGAAGAGCCCCATCTTATCTAATTGTGTTTCAAAACTCATTCCTTTAACTCTGGAAATTAGTCTCATTCCGCTCCTCAGCACGGCTTCTGGATCTTAGACAGGTTCCTTTTGCTGCAGCAGCCAGAACTTTAACCAATTTGTAAGACGATGGTTACATTCTTTTTCTGTTGTCTCTTACACCACAGCATCTCCAGATTGGGTTCATGTACAATTAACTGCCTCGCCCAGAGTCTGCAAATCCAGATCATTTACATACACTAGGAACAGGAGGGATTGTAGTATGGAATCCAGAGACCTCACTCATTTTGACCTAGCTCTCCTTACAACTAAACTAGGTTTTCTTTCTTCTCTTGAGGCAGCTGTTAATTCATATCCATGTCTTTTTCTTGTTGCCAAGTAATGGCTTGTAACCAAAAATACTTTAAAAAGTCAAAAAATGTATTACATTTAATCGTCATTCTGTACTGAAAGTACTGCTGCTGTTCCTATAATCCTTTATTATCTTCCAGTCCCCATTCTAATTTCAAACATGAAATTAAGCAAAGATAAATAATCAACTCCATTTTATTTTTCATCGTAGCAAACACTTTCAACCAGTTTTGAATCAAAGCGAGACCAAAGTTTGCAAACCCAACTCGATATTATAACAAGCTTTGAAGAACACAGAACAGCACAGAAATTAAACCACAGAACAAATGCTAGTCAGCACCTGCCTCACAGCTCACTGTATCTCACCTGGACTGCCTGGTTAGTTTCCGGAGGTGCAAGTCCACGGATTATGAATTTGTAATTCAGAGAGTTGCAGACATGGAAATGAAAACAAGTAAATGATTAAAGCAAATTAGCGTAATAACAAATTGATAAATCAACCACAAGCTGATACATCAATTACAGAGAGTTGCATCTGTCAAGGGTGATACATCAATCACACGGATAAGGTCTTCACCATATACAAATAGGGAATATCAGGGTTTGAGATGCACTCAGAGAATTAAAAGGAGAGCGTGATTGGTTATTGATATATGCCACGTCCCAACATATTAGTCTACTCTGCATTTCAGTCAAATGGATGCCTGCATACTGGTTAGGCTATACTGTGCATTTCAAAACATATTAAAATGGTGCATTAAAATAATAAATACACAGTTCATAAATAAACAGCACATTTAGGAGACCATAAAAATATATATTATTATTTGAAAGCAACATGAACGACTAAGATATACCCAATAGGTTATAACTATAGAAATCAGAAACCAAAATGGTGCTCAGGAGAAACGTAATGGCATTAACATGGCCCAAGTGATTAATGGACAGGGCACATTGTTACTAATTGGCTAAAGATTATGTCAATATGAATGAAAAACTGTAAAATAGAAAATAATAATAGGATTGATGATCCATTCATTTAATTTAGCACCTTTCACATCAGGAGGACATCTCAAAGCACTACAGGAATTACTATAAAGTGTAGTGACTGCGTATTTATAGGCTAAGGTGACAGATGGTTTGGGCACAGCAATGTCTCACATAGCCTTGAAGTGAAAATCTCATTAAAAACTTGAAAACAGACCTGATGAAACTAATTTAACTTAATACAAGGATTTGAGATGGCGACATAAACCATGGCTACATAAACAAAGCTCAATTATGTCTTCAACTTCATCTCTTACTGAGATGTGTTTTGGAATTTTTCACACTGTTACCTTGCATAGGTAGAGGTGGATTTAATATTTTTACAAAAGGTTGGTGTACATATGATTGCCAGGCAGACATTAGAGTAAAATTCAAGGGAGGAGTATAGGCAAGATAGATACCCTGCACATATTAGAATAGCCTTATGAGTATTTGCACTATTCGCTTCTTAGAAATATGTTTTGGACAGCCTCAGTAACACATTATTTTCAGCTGCTGTGTATAATATTGGAACAGCCTTTTGAACACTTCCATTATTCTTGTAAACAGTGTTTGAAGCAGCCATTTTCTGCAGTTCCATGACCGCCAGCAGATGGAGCAAAAGTAACTTACCTGGAGATCCCGGTGGCCCACAGTCACCACGTTCACCCACATCACCAGAATCTCCACGATATCCATCCAATCCAAGGAACCCGGCTTGCCCTTTGAATCCCTTCTCACCTTAGTGCCAAATAAGAAAATGAGATAGTAACTGTCGCCTGAATCATAAAACAGTGATACAATTTAGGACATTTAAGAAAAGTTGTAAGAAAAAAAAATCCGCTCAGGTTTCCTCTCTTGTTCCTTCTCTGGGTTTCAACTATAATCCATCCTGTATGTTTTTATTCTCCCCTGAATATTAGCCTTGAAATCAAAACTCATCACTCCATTTCCGACTCAGGCTTACGCACTCCAAGGACTTTGAGATTGTGAAAATCCTCATTTCCCTAAGTCTTCTGCTCCTTCTACAACCTGCAGGCTTCAAATCCTAAATTTGGTGTCACCAGACCATTACTTCATCTCCTTTCATCTAAGAAAATCAATGTTTTTTCTGTAAAGTGTAGGAACTTTGCATTCATAGGCACATGGCAGGAAATCAGTGGAGAGCAGTGTCTCACAAAGAGCCATGTGGACGCCAAGGAGAAAGAATCTTGGTAGAACTTGGAGGTGCTGCCCATCTGTCTGCCCCTCCACGTTCGGTGAAGGCACTCGGCTGGCTGGTCTGTAATCAGCAGTACTGTGGACCCACGAGTCTCAAGAAATTTTGTTTTATTTGAAGGATTGTTGACTGGGACATCACCTTTTCTTACAAATCATGCCTCAGTCTGGTTTGGATTCTCATGCCTAGTGATGGATCGTTTCTTGTGTATATATTAAATGCATACGTCAGATACTTGCCTGACCACAAAGAAAGGACGAAAAGAAATGTACAGCAGGACAGACATTGTACTCTGAACATTACCTTTTAGACCTGGTAACCCTGGAAAACCATCAAAGCCAAGATTGCCTGGCTGCCCTGGGAGCCCTCTGGAACCAAATAAACCTTGTTGACCTGGATCACCAGGACCTCCTTTCATTGCCCATAAGGAGGTACCCCGATCACCAGGAATACCGGGAGGACCTGTAACCCAAAACAACAAATAAATAAAAAATTGTGGTCGGCTGCTAAATTGAAAGGTAAAGGTGGCAGTTTCTGAGAACAATGCCATAAATAATGGGGTTCAAATGCATGCAACTATAAATGATTTGGATGGTTACTAAGTTGGCAGCAACGTCTATACCTGGTTGACCATCGGATCCTGGAAGTCCAGCATCTCCTCGAGGTCCAGAAGATGCTACATCACAAGGAGGTCCTTCTGGACCCAGATTTCCTGGTGTCCCAGGCATTCCTGTAGTTCAAGGACAATCATCATTGGCCACATTGTAAACAAGGGTCTTTGTTATCAAAGTCCTTTCTTGTGTATATATTAAATACATTTTTTCCCCAAATTTCAGTAGTATAGCCTTGATATTATTTTGATCAATTATTTTGTAGAATACAGTGATTAATACTTACATCATTTGCTTTAAATTATTTATCTGTAATAGCAACCTAAAATATTGAATTTTTTTAAAGAGAGATTTGTTGATGTCATTTAGTCTTCCTGTATTGCATGCTACCCCAAAGGGCTGTTGACACTCAGTCCTTGAGCATATTCAAGACTGAGATAGATATATTTCTTATTGCAAAAGGGATTAAGGGATATGGGGATAAGGCAGGGTTATGGTGTTAGCTGGAGTTAGATTAGGAGATCAGCCATGATTGAATGGTGGGGCAGGCTCGAACGGCCGAATGGCCTACTCCTGCTCCTACATGTTATGTTTAGATGGTTTTGTCTGACTCCTGTCATCACTACTATGTGGATAACACATTTGGTGGATAGAATATCTCTTCTGCCAATGGGGGAGTTTCCCAAGTTAATCTTATCCAAGGTTGTTTTAATAATAATAATCCTTACATTACAGCGCCTTATCACGTTGTCCATATGTCTCAAAATGTTGTAAAGTGGTTTGACTCTGTATTTTGTTTTGTCAAGAATTGGGGACAGAGGGCACAAAAGCATCACCTCAAGGTCACTTTAAATACTGTAAATACTGGAAGATTTATTGGAATTTTAATTAGAATTGGGAAACCTATGCTTTTCACATCATCAAATTCAATCATTTATTGTCCCCTTCTGGCTTCAATACTAAATGTGTGTCAGCCTGGCTCAATGGTAGCACTCCGCCTCTGAGTCTAAGTATCGTAGGTTGTGGTTCAAGCCCCACGTTGGGACTTCGACTCATAGTCTAAGCTGACACTCCAAAGTAGAGATGGGGTCTGTTGCATTGTCAGAGGTGCCGTGCTTTGGATGAGATATTAAACTGAAGGCCCATCAGTCTGTTCAGGTGGGCGTTAAAGATCCCATTTTCAAAAAAAGGAGGTTTCACCTGGTGTCGTGGTCAATAATCCCACCACAATAAAACTGGACATTCATTTCATGACTGTTTGTGCAACATTACTATGTGCAATTGAGCTGTCGCGTTCATTGACAAATGCACAGCCAGTCCACTTCATAATAAATCCTGTGAGGGCTTTGAGATCTTCCCAACGTGAAAAGCACTACACCAAATGCAAAGATGATTGTTCTTATATAGTCATCATTTTACTGTTTGGAATAAGTCATAAAATCAAGGAGAAATGGCATATTCACATGTTAAACATGTTAAACCACACAAATGAAGCACTAATTTGAGACAGGAACTGATCATCAATATCTAGAATTCAATGATATCACAAGAGATCTGGATCATTTTGTGCTCACCTGGATTGCCTGGTTTACAAAGCCCACGAACAAGCAGCAGGAGATCATGAAGATTCACGTGATTGAGCAAAGATGGGTGTAACCATGCAAATCAAAAGTGAAGAACACAACACATTTTCTTACAGCATGAAATGAAGACAAGTATGAAGCACACAAAGCTGAAAAAGCAACTTGAACAATGACAACATTAAGCATTAAAATAATCTTAGATTTGTTCATATGTCAAGATATCCAATAGCACTGTTGCATTTAACCATATATGCAATTCTCAAAGGCCCGTTAGATGTGATGACATGTCCCACACAGAGCGTATAAATATTATGTGTCTATGTATCCAGTAAAGTTTGCCAGTCTCCAGTAACCAGTGTTCCACAGACATTGTATTCACAAATTGGACAGCTTCTCAATAGAATAACACGAAGATTGGTGTAGTATTGATGTTCTGTCACTGAATGTAACTAGCACATGTAGAAAATTCACCACTTATGGGAGGAGAAATGGTATTAATGGTAAATTATTTTGACTTTCGAACTTGTGCTGGTAATTTATGAGATCAGCATCAGTCAATCTCATCGAACATTACTAGTATTTGTTGTACATTTGTAAAAACATGCTTAATACATCCACTGCAGATTATTACTGTATCAAAATTGTATTGTTCTCCACAGTGCTGAAATCAAAGAAGTAGGGACTTTTTCTAATACACTTTCCTACCTGGTATTCCTCGGGGGCCTGTTCTTCCCATGGGACCAGGAATAGACCTTCCTGGGGTTCCTGGAGCCCCATATTCACCTTTAGATCCTGGTGATCCTGGATTACCTGGAAGCCCTGTTTTGCTGGGGCCTTTACATAATCACAATAGTGAAGGCTGAATTAATAAAGTGAGCGATAGATCAGAGGATATAATTAACAACAAAATTACACTTGTAACATCATGTCAATTAGGTAATAAAAGCAAGATTCGCCCACAAAATACACCGTTACTCCTGTGATCTGAGCTCAAAGGCACTACATATCAAATATAAATATAATTATTAACTAATTTAAACAGCAACAATGTTGAGTTTATTAAATACTTGGACACACATTTACCACAATGAATGTAATATGGTCATGCACTTTGTATGATTATGCACACCCTAATCTCTTAGCCTGGCTCATTAGGTAGCATTCCCGCCTCTGAATCAGAAGGTTGTGGATTCAAGTCCTCCTGACCTGAAAGGTGCTGTATCAAATGCAAGGATAATTACTATTATTAGTTTCATGATTTTAATAGAAGACTATTATTAAAATACAAAACCACAGAGGTAATCTGTAGACAATAATTTGGTGCAAGTGATCTCTGTATTCAGTGGTTGCTGGACAGGTGTGACTGATATCAGTATGAAAAGAATGTTTGGTAGGTTTAATTGCTACAGTTTTACTATTGACAAAGTAAATATATAGCCTTTACCTTGTTCTCCATGCATTCCTTTTTGCCCTTGTAACCCATGTAGACCATTTAAACCAGGTCGCCCAGGTTGACCTGAAATAAAAGGGGTACTGTGTTATTCAGTCGGTCGCAATTTCTTGAAACACAGTGTCTCAAAGTTATCTTTATTGCTGATTTATAAAGCGTGATTTGCCACCAACCGTGCTGTATATAAAGGGGCTGAGGCTGCACTAATGTATCTGGCAGCACCTGGAGGAGGTGGTTGCACAAGCAATGTGATTCATACCTTCACTGTGTAAAGTGGTGGGTACAAACCGCACTGGATACTACATGGTCTGTATGGCTCAGTTACTCACTGGATAAACTGCCAGTGCCATCAAATGAACCCCAGAACTTATTGTCCTCACTTGATTTTTACAGTCACATTGACGACAATGGCATCCAGGCCCAGAGTCTCTCTGAATGAGTGAAGATTGTTCCGTGGAAATGGGGAGCACTAGACGACTGGACGCTCAAGACATCACTCACTCTCTGTGGTCCATAGGGACTGAAGCAGACAAAACAGTACTTCTCACAAGGAGGCCAGCTACAGGTAAAACCCACAGTTGTTGCTCTTCATCCTTTTCCTGTAGTTTTATCATTTAAGAATTAAGCTCTAGGGAAAGGCCAGAGTTCAGCCCTACCAAGATAAACTCACTTAAGTTTTATACATCTTTAAACTGTATTTATAAGGACGAAAATTTCATACGATGAGGATCGGTTTCTCAAATCATTGAATACTGAAGTATCGAGTCAGAGTGACCATTAGCCATGTCCCCATGGTTTACCTTTTGTACCCGGTGATCCAGAGTGCCCTTCAGAGCCTTTTCTTCCTGGAAGTCCCGGCAGTCCTGCTGCTCCCGGCGTTCCCGGATCTCCTGGAAGTCCTTGATTGCCTGAAGGTGCACACAACAATTATTTTAGAGTAAGTCAGTGGAATGATAATTATTATATAGAAAGTTATGATATACCTTTATAAAACACTGGTTAGGCCTCAGCTAGAGTACCTTTGTTCAGTTCTGAGAACTATACTTTAGGAAGGATGTCAAAGCATTGGAGATGGTGCAAAGGAGATTTACCTGGAATGGTAACAGGAATGAGTATCTTCAGTTACCAGGAGAGGCTAGAGAATTTAGGATTATTCTCCTTGGAGCAGAGAAGGCTAAGAGGAGACTTAATAGAAGTTTTAAAAATTATGAGGGGATTCGCTAGGGTGAACAAGGAAACACTATTTCCACTGGCAGGTTGGTCAGTAATCAGAGGGTACCAATTTAAAATAGTTGTTAAAAGAAACAGAGGGGAGGTGAGGAGAAATTTTTTCACACAGCGAGTTGTTTGGCTCTGGAATGCATTGCCTGAAAGGGTGGTGGAAGCCGATTCGATAACAACTTTTAAGAGAGGAGTAGATCATTATTTGGGGAGGAGAAGTTTGCAGGGCTATGGGGAGAGAGTGGGGGAGTGGGATTGATTTGGATAGCTCTTTTCAAAGAGCTGGCACAGACACGGTGGGTCAAATGGCCTCCTTCTGTGCTGTATAATTCTATGCTTCTATGTTTGCTGATGTCCATTACCTAATCCATTTCAACCACATATGCTTAATACACCGCTGCCCTTCTTAACCGACTAAACCAGTTTATCTATTTTGTATACACACTAAACACACCTATGCCCTTTCCCATTTTGTGAAGCTATCAATGGAAAAATAATAAGGTGTTACAATACAAAAGTAAAGCAGTGTTTCATTTTCTTCCCCCAGTGGGAAGATGGCATTAAATTTAAGGTTATTATAGATGTTTATTTTTTGAGAAATCTAAGGGAAAGTACCCATGGTGCAGTACATCTCCCAGGTCAGGAGAGAAGGTGAGATTGTGGTCAAGAAAATGGTTAGGTGATGCCAAATGTAGATTTTAAATGCTTGAAGATTTGATGAAGAAGGACATAGGAGGAAGGTGCAGTGTTGAAGCCCTGAGAGAGGATGTTTCAGAGTAGGAGAATGAGCAATACAGGGAAAAGTGAATGGTCTTTGTAACAAAATACTGTAAAGAACATTCAGGTAACCTTTACAATATTTTGTTACTTAAACGTTGTTGCGCTTCTTCCAGTAGTTTTATACAGAGCACATATTGAGAAGTGTGGAATCACAGAAAGGAAACAGGTCAGTGCCTGCGGAACATGCTTCTCTGGATCTACCCGACAAACATCCCTCGCTGTACCCTCTCCCCCACACTGAAACACCTCGGTGTCTCCACTTTGCTTCTGCATTTCCGTACCTAACTCGCAGAAGATCAACAAGCGGTTCTATAACTTTAAGCAATGATACAAACCTGGACAGCCTGGTATTCCAGAGGAACCCATCATTCCCTTGGGTCCAGGTGCTCCTGGGCACCCATCCGTGCCAGGACGACCGGGCTCTCCTGGTGCCCCTTTGCAACCTATTCCATGAAAAAGTCATTTCTTTTAGTTCCTCTACATTGGCTCGCAGGGTGAGGAGGATTAGAGTTAGCCACTCAAGAGTAACCAGCATCCCACTAATTAACAACTGAAAGCCAAGATGTGGAAGTCCAGTTGTTGGCCCAGCTTCACTGACTTTGCCATTGAGGTTGACTTTATCTGGGAACAGTGAATGCACTAAATATCATATTTCATGCTAAATTGACCCTGATTACTGTTGAGGCTAGTGTGAGCCATTTTGTGGTATTGGCCTTATACTCGGCTAGCAAGTTGAGACTTGCACTCTATCAATTTGGGCTGTTAAACCCCATAATAATAATGATAATCTGTGAATTTAGTACAGCACAGGATTTAAAGTGTAGTGACAGTGTATTGGTAGGAGAACCTGGCAGCCAACTGACACACAGCAATGTGCCACTGACAGCCATGATGTGAACAATTTTATTTGGAGAAATGATTAGTACCATGGATCATTAACGTCTACTTAAACTGGCACCTGGGACCTCGTTTAACATCTCATATGAAGGATGGCACTGCCAAGGCTCCCTGAGCACGGAATTGGAGCATCAGACTAGACTGAGCTCAAAGTTCAAATGTGGGGTTTAAACCTGGAACTCCAAATTCTACAGTAATTATTTACCTGAGTCTCCATCATCACCTGGTGGCCCCTTCGGTCCAGGAGGTCCTGGGACACTGATGCATATACTTTGGTCACCTGAAAGATGGACTTTATTTGTAGTTTTATATAATGGCATATTGCAAAAAAATTAGATAAGATACACATTATGCTGCATGTGTTATCTCGAAATGGTGTATACAGAAAGTATTTCTACATCCGACTTAACCAGAGGGCTTTACATTCCCATTTATTGTACCAACTACCCTTGTGGTCGCTTTAATTGAGGCTGCTAATTTAGTGTTACAATGGAATCTTACTCAGAGAAACTGCATTGGTATAATAGTGTCATTTCACTTTGACTGCTTTCCTAGGGCCAGATTTCATCAAATCAGTTTGTAAATCTTTCTACTATAATGACTTGCATGGTGTGTGTAATTTCATCAATTTCAAACTTTCAGTCATATGTTTGGTAATCAAACCAACCAACTGCACTTAGCTACTCCATGTATTAGAACCTCCATACCACCTAATCTATTTGCTTCTCAGGCAAGAACATTTTCAGTCAGGAAGTCTGAGAGATAACCTGCTCTCAGGTATAACCAATTCCTACGCATTTAACATCCACAGTGAAGCTACTGCCAGGCCAACCCATGCTATACCTAGCCTGAAAACCCTGTTTATCCACTTGAGAATAATGACCAAGCCAACTCTACCAATTGTACACCTGGGCGTACAGACTGTGAGAGAGATTCCAGTCTTATAATGGCAACCAGGACACTCTACCTATTGAAGTGAAAGCAGAATGACAGATATAAAAATTAATTATATATATTTACGATTGTTCCAGAAGCTTACACAAAACAACAACAACTTGGATTTATATAGCACCCTCCACGCCGGACGGCATCTCAGAGCACTTCACAGTAATGGATCCTGGGGCCAAGCCGGGGGAGGGGGATGAAGGTGACCAAAGGCGCTGTTGAAAAGAAAGGTCTTCAGCAGAGACCTGAAAATAGGAAGAGAGGGAGCGAGACAAAGGGAATGAGGAAGGGAGTGCCAGAGTCTTGGGGCATAGTGGCTGAAGGCACGGCCACTGAGGGTGGAGCGGAGAACTTGGGGGACAAGGAGAAGGCCAGACCCGGAGGAATGAAGGCAACGGGCACTGTTTTGAGGAGAGAGGTCAGAGAGGTAGGGGGGTGCAGAGGAGTGGAGGGAATTGAAGACAAGGGTGGAGATCTTGAAGTCGATCCTCTCTGGAACAGGCAGCCAGTGCAGTCTGGCAAGGACTGGGGTAATCGGGGAGTGGAGTTTGATGTGGGTGAGAATGAGAGCGGCAGAGTTTTGAATAATCTGGATTTTATGGATGGTAGTGGAGAGCGTTTGAATAATACAGCCGAGTGGTGACAAAGGCATGGACCAGGGTTCAGCGGCTTTCAGAGAGAGGTATTGGCAGAGACGGGCGATGCGTCGGAGGTGGAAGAAAGCGGTGCTGGTGAGGGACCAGATGTGGGGGAGGAAGGATAATTGGGGGTCGAACCTGACGCCAAGGTTGCGTAAGAGTTCGGAGAGTTTTAAGGGGAGGTCAAAAAAGCTACCAGTCTTCTAACCCAAAGTTCACAAGTTTGGGATCGAGAGGCTGTTGTAACAAGATTAAAGTTACTTTCCTTGAGTTGAGTTGAGAGTGATGGTTGGTCGGGTGGTACAATGCGCAAGGACAGATCACTTGGATTTACCTTTTGATCCTTTCCTACCAGGATTACCTAGCCTTCCAGGTGGTCCCATCTCCCCTTCGTCACCCTAAACACAACAACAACATGCCTTTATATAGCACCCTTCACACAATACAGGACAACTTAGACTGAAAATTATTAATCATTTTGAAACACAAGAATATTTGTTATCAAAGCAAATGTCAGATTAAAGAATTTTGTTGATTTCAGATACTTACTTTCTCACCAAACATTCCAGGAAATCCAGTGATACCTCTTACACCTTTTTTCCCCAGAAATCCTTGTCGTCCATGTGGACCCCGTGGTCCATTTATACCGTGACAGCCTTTCTGCAAACTTGGGAGACCAGGTTTACCAGGAAAGCCAGGTGTTCCTGGATTCCCAGGTAATCCCTTCTCACCTGAAACAGTCACAAGCAGTAAAAATAGGGACATAAAAAACAGGAGCAAGCATTAGTCCACTGGCTGTCAGAGATATTTCTATCTGCCTCTTGTATCAAATCAATTCTCTCAAATAACAATTTCCCTTTCAATGCCAGTGTAAAGGATGGGAACTGGATTCCATAGAGTACAATTTGAATACTAGGGAAGGACTATCTGAAGAAAATGTGACACTTTGTTCAATAAAATTGCCCCTTCTTGTAATGCAGAGGTTGCACTGAAATGGCGAATGCTTTTAGAAGTGGGCTGTATTATTTACAGAAGTGACATTTATTAGACACCCCGAGGACCATTGATACACAACTTCAACCATGGCCTTAGTTCCACCTGCTGTTCACCTTGTAATTCTGTGATTTCATTCATGGCCTGCCGGGGTCTGTGGAACATTCAATGAGCTGGGATTTGGTGCTTGTCTCACTCCTTTTGCACAGGTCTGGTGGGTTGCATACAAACCCATATCCAATATGACAAAGAACACACTTATACGGCGGTTCCACCCACTCAACTAATAAGCTGTTCTTTTAATATCGTCGGGCAATTAAAACTATGTTGAATAACAAAATGTCTTACCTCTTGGCCCTGTAAACCCATTAATACCAGGAAGACCTTGGCTTCCAGAAGAACCTTTTTCGTATAAGATGTTGACAAATCCTTCTTCCCCAGGTTCTCCCTTTGAACCTGAAACAAAGCAGCCCATCTTTTCAGTTTAGTATTATTATTTTGATGTCATTGTTTTTGGACAACTCAGAAAGATATCAGTTTGGACTGCTTAAGAATGAATGATTTCTGGGTTTAGAAAAAAATATACTACAGTATGAATTAACTTCCCTGGATAAACTAGGAATCAGAGCTTTCTGAGCGAGCTATAAAACAACATCTTTAATTTCACAAAATTACAATAAACACCAGACTCCGAACAAGGTAGGAGGTGATCCAGTTAGCTATTTGTGGATTTAGGTCTCTGAGGTGATCGCCACATGGCAATACAATACTGAGCTTCTCCTCTATTTCTGTATGGAGTTCATGACTGAGACAGTGAGTGTCTGCTCTATTTCCCTAATACAGTAACAAAATGCTGAATATATACACATGAATATCTGCGTAGATTGCCCCTGGCTTTGGAAGCACTCCAAGCGTGGGCAGCAGCAGGACCGTCTACCAGATCTATAAACAGTCAGATGTCATCAGCGAAAATAGGTGCAACACTCTGTATTATAGGACAAAGCTTAAGCCTATATAATTCTCCACATTCTCCACATTCACCTTAAGAAGCTGGCAGTCACTGAATTCTTTTTGGTGTATTTAAAATTTTAAAAGCATCCCAGCTTTAGGAAACGTAAGGCAACATACTGCAGATGCTGGAAATCTGAAATGAAACCAGAAGTCGCTGAGAATACTCAGCAGGTCAGGCAGCATCTATGGAGAGAGGAAAGTAGGTTAACATTTCAGGTCAGTGGGAAGTGAACCTGAACCTGAATTGTTAACCCACTTTTCTCTCTCCACAGATGCTGTCTGATCTGCTACGTGTTCCCAGCGACTTCTGGTTTTATTTCTAGCTTTAGGAAATCTGATTTCTCATACCTGGATATCCGTGGCACCCTGACTCGCCATCAGTGCCTCTCACTCCATCACCCCCAACTATTCCTTGTAATCCTTGTATTCCTGGAATCCCTAATGAACCAGATGGTCCTGGAAATCCCGTAATGCCTTTCTTCCCTTTGCCACCTAATCCATGCAAGGAATAAACTCAGTGAGTGATCCAGTTTATGACAATTTCCTGTTTAGTGAGACATACGTCACAACCAACGCAGCCGAAACCCTCATCCACGCCTTCGTCACTTCCTGGCTGGATTATTCCAAAGCCCTGCTCACTCCACCACACACAAAATCCAGTTTATTCAAAACTCCACCAACTAGATAGTCAGCTACATAAAACTCTGTACCCTCATCACACCAGTCCTTGCCAAGCTCCACTGGCTCCCAATAACCAAACGGATTGATTTCAGAATCCTCTCACTGGTTTTAAAATCCCTTCATGCCCTTGGACCTCCCTACCTATCTGAAATGCTTACTCCCTACTCCCCCACTCGCTGCCTCCTCTCGGCTGCCTCCGGCCTCCTGTTTGTCCCTCGGCTCCTCCACTCCATCGATGGTCATGCCATCAGCCACTATGCCCCGAAACTCTGGAACTCTTTTCCTTAATCCACCCACCTTGCCACCTCCCTACCTTCAAATCCCGCCTAAGGACCTTCCTTTTTGGTCGGATTTACGGTCACCTCCCCCCTCCCTCTCCCCCCGGCTCGTTGTCAGACAGTCCCAAGGGCAAGCCCTCTGGGGTACTACCCTGCTTGAAGGGCGCTATATAAATGCAAGTTGTTGTTGTCGACATCAGTTTATGTTTATTGATATCTTTTGACGATTTATGTATATGTGTGCATTATATATACACCTACCCACTGGGCCAAGTAATCCTGGAATTCCACTGGGACCTACAGAGCCAAGTTGGCCTGGCATCCCAGTTATTCCAGGGGTTCCTGGGCTCCCTGTAATTCCTGGCAGACCCTTCATTCCTGTTGGGCCACAGGCACCTGGATCTCCTGGCAATCCTTTTTGAGAAAAACCTACAAAGAAATTGGACTTTTGTAACATGGTGAAAACATTATTGCATTATTAATCATTGCCTCCTTCGAGGCCCTACTCAAGACCTTCCTCTTTGACCATGTGTTTAGTCGCTCTCCTATAACTCCTCCTGCTCAGGAGCCTCAACAGTTTTTACCTTGGAGGCCGGGTAAACCAGGAAGCCCCGGAGGACCAGATGGACCTGGCTGGCCTCGATATCCAGGTAAGCCTGGTAGCCCACGCAAGCCAGGAATTCCACTTGGGCCTTGGTCACCCTGCATTCCTTTCAGACCTGAGAATCCTGGAACTCCATCTTGTCCTACAGAGGGAGAAGGCAAATAATTGTTTCTTGGAGATAGAAACACATTATACTTTTATTCATAACTTTATTCACTTTGCAATTAGCTTCTTTTAGGTAATACCAACTTGATTACGTCAAACACTGCAAGCAGTGAAACTCATGCTAATAAATTTATTTCATTCACAGGACTGAGTCGATTAGCTGGAGTGCAAGTGATCAGTAGAAACTATACAGGAAAATAATAGCTCTTAAAGTGTACCTGACAATCCTCTACTGCCAGGGTCACCAGGTGAACCTCTTGTCCCGTCTGAGCCTTGCCTGCCTATTTGCCCAGGGGGTCCTTGAAGCCTCTCAGATGCAATGCCAGGAGGTCCTTTTTCTCCTGAAATTCCAGGAGCACCTGGAAGGCCTTGAATGCCTTCTTGAGAAGCACCCACGGGTCCTTGAGGACCTCTGTCACCATCATTTCCTCGGAAGCCTAAGAAAAAATGAGCAGTCAGTAATTGATGACACAGAGATCAGAAACCCTGGTCAAACTAACCAAGGAATACACCTAGAAAATTGGATTGTGCTGCACTGTTGTTCCCACACATTTCCTCACATCCAACATTACCTCCCCCAGCTAGGCAGTACTACCTCCTCAGACGACAGTACCACTCCTTTCCCTGATAACACTCTTCACAAGCCACCAGCATTCCTTTCCCAAATGCTAGATCTTTACTTAATCTCACCGTCTGTAGCAAACCAAATACCACTACTCTTCTCCCAAGTGTTTCACTGATCTATTCTCAAATACCACTACGTTTTCTAAGACCTTCATTTCTTCCTTTCCCAAGATTAAAGCTTCCATTTCCTAAAAGTAGAAAATTATTATTATTCATTATCATAAAAGAAAAATTCACACACAAAAAAAAACAAGGAATTTCATTTTGTAGAAAGTGACATAGCTATCAGCTACGAAGCACCTTATCTTGATATATCTGCTTATCTGTGTTATCCATTTTTATCTGATTATCTATCATTGAATGTTTACCACTCGCTCTTATAAACCACTTCTTTTATAAATCACTTATGTTATAAACCACTTCTCTTATAAACCACTTCTCTTATAAACCACTTCTCTCAATCTAAAATTTGTGGAGGGAATTTGATACCTATTTGATGAAACAATTTATTGAGGAGTTATTGTTTATGATTTTTACTTTGTGACCCGACAGATGGACCCAAGCTTGCTGCCAATTAATCGCTGCTTCTTCATTTATCTCATCATCTCATTTGCTCTTTTCAGTCTTAGTGGTGTCAGAACTTAGTCCTTCATCAGAATTTCTCAATAATAAGCAACATAAGATTGCTCCCTACAGCGAATCCTTAAGAAGGAAAAGTCAGTGGCATATTTGGTGCATGACGTCCATTTAGACAGAGAAATAGTACAGCAAATTTACAACGGAGATATGATTAGGATTCTCTGAACCCTTGGTTCATGAACCGAGCTGCCATTCCCAGTTACTTTCCATTCTCACCTGGTGGTCCTGAATATCCATTCAGGGCTGGTTCACCTTTTTGACCCTTAAACCCTTTGAAGCCTGAGTTTCCTTGTTTACCCGGAGGCCCTGAATAACCTCTTGTCCCTAAGAAAGGGAATATAACATATGCATTAGGACAATCACATGTGATCACTGCCCTTGCAGTCAGTCTTTGCTCTTTCTGGCCATGTTGTTACTAGCAATGAACTGCAAAAAACTGCTATGGTTAGCTCAATGATTAGTGAGTGAGATTACTCAAATAACCATCTCGAAGAACAGTCAATGTTTAAATGTATTCTTCAGTTATTTAATACTACTTATTTTGAGTATAATATAATAATATGCGGAAACAGTGAAGATCTTAGTAAACGCTAAATAGAAATCCCCGATAAGACTGGTCCCTCACTGGCACAGAATCATTGCACAAGAGTGAGATTATCTCGCATTGTGCCCCAAACCCTGCCAACTGGCATTCATAACAGAATTTGTAAAACAAGTAACATATTTCTGATCCATGAAAATAGCAAACGTTTTCACACAATACTTAATAATGTGATTTGCCGATATTTACGATTTGATGGGCAATCAGTAGCTGTTCAAGTATGTTAGACCTCCACTGATGTAAAACCCATTAAAAAAATAAAGCAAACCTGGAGGTCCTGGCATTCCTTTTGGACCTACTGCACCAGGGATTGAACCAGAAGGATTTGGTGTATCACCTGCCAGAGAAAATAAATAATAATCTTTGCATTTGATATAGAGCCTTTCACATCTCAAAACACTTCAAGGGAGGGACTACAAAAAATGGATAGACTACAGCTTTTTAAATGACAAATACATGTACATTAATTTATGTGTCATTGTTCTGACACATTTATATATCATGAGTCATGACTTACAAACAGAGCTTCTTCCCCCCCCACCCCCAACCACTGGACATAAGCTACTACAAGCTTACGGTGACATAGTCAATAAGGTCATCACTACACTCGCCACCTGTAAAGGTTAGCAGGTCAGGGAAATTCTTTGATGTGAAAAGAAAGTGTTCAGTTAAAGCTGGTTGCCCACCTGATGTGTCACTTTGATATGCCATTATGTCCCTGAACATAGATCTAAGGCAGCTTTTCAGCAATTACTATGAAAAGCATTTCTACAGATGCATAAGAATATCCTTGTTGAAGGAATAATGAGTTTGCATCCAATTACAGGCTTCCCTTTCACTGTAGGGTTGTTTACAGCCCTGTTCTCTTTCAAACACAGTCTTTGGATTCTGTATATGACCTTGCATTTGAAAGAAAATAGTCAACTTAACGTATCTATTGCATTACCGTCTGGGCCTTTTGGCCCTGGGGAACCATCTACTCCTGGATAACCTGGATTTCCGGATGGACCCTTGTGACCTTTTGAGCCAGGATAACCCAAGCCTTGGGGCCCAGGTGGACCTGGCAAACCCGGAGGTCCTTGTAATCCGGGTAAACCCAAGATCCCCGGCATTCCCTTGCATGCTTCACCCTATAAGATTGAATAGAACAAATACGACAATACAGAGGTTAAAAAAATACCAGCTTCTCAAAGAGATAATGGAAACGTTATGGGAAAAGATGAATTAAGATTGAATTACTTTAAGGGGGTTTGCTGAGGGAGGCAGGCAATCTGGTTATTGTTGAGAAGGAATTGGACATACCTTTGATGGCAGAAGGGTTTGGGAAGTATAGGTAGAGATATTGTTAAAAACTGAGCTTGGCCAGCCAGATCCAAGATCCATCCAATTCACCTTTCATCAGCCTGGCAGTCGCATGCACATGTCATGCCCCAAAGTATTTACTGGATCCCAAGATATTATTTCCTAAAATAAATCTTATCGAATTTGCTTTTGAAAGGGAGACAGTGTTCCACATTCCTAAACTTCTTCATTCCTAGATTGCCCAAAAATGCACACGGCACTTTGTATGTAGAACAAGGCTAGAGCTGCTCATTCGCAAACATAACCTCCCAATTATACATTCTGGGCTAGTAGGTAAGCTAGTAGGTAAGGTGGTGTGCAGTGTGGTACTGAATGCCACAGTAGGTAAGGTAGTGTTCAGTAGGTAAGGTGGTGTGCAGTGTGGTATTGAGTCCCACTGGAAGGTCCAGCTTCCATTCTGGGTCCAATATATTGTGATGCATAACAAATTTTATCATTAAAGGTTTGAAAATAAAAGTTGAGAATACAACAGAGAGAGTATTCTATCAGAATCTTATATGAAATGTATGTGTAACAGGGAGAGTGTTGTAACTGAGAGCCTGAAACTGAGGGTGGGTTACATTCATTTACAAGAGCAATACATACATCGAATCCACGTGAGCCACGGAATCCTGGGTCTCCATTTAGACCAGGTTGGCCTGGGTTTCCTTGAACGCCTGGAGATCCTGAATCACCCCGATCTCCTTTCTCCCCTGTTGCAAACAAACACAAACACATTTTATTTTTTTACTGCCTTAGGCAACCTCTCACTGAAGTAAAAGCTCTTTATAATGTGTGTATAGAGGTTGGGAGGACTGATAGACACTATTGGAGCCTTATCATAAGGATCATACAACTGGAGGTGTGAACTTCACCCAAGTCTCTCTCTCTCTGGTAAAAGTATCTTCATATTAGCAAACCATTTTCTTAATTGATTTAAATAAGAATATTACATAAAACAGTTTCACTCCCTTCCCCACCCACACCCAAGGCTCATTTAAATTAATCAGGTCTGTGACATCCTGTTGTAAGCACTCAGGAGTCAGTAGCTCTGAATACTTTTTCTGAACTGTTATCACCACAGTTCTAAAGAGGTTATTACGCCAGCCAGTGGCAGAGATAGGAATCCTGATGATCGCTATAGAGACAACTAATCCTTTGAGCATTAGGTGGGAAAGTACCTCAAGTTATTCTTAAAAATTCAACGCCTTGACGTCCTCCCGACATGAAAGGCACTATATAAATGTAAATTTGTTGTTGTATAAAGTATAAAGTCATATAGCTTGAAAGTCTTAAACTGAATTGTGACTGAATTGTGCAAATGTCTGCTTCCAAAATGCTATGTCCTGTAGGTAATAAGTTATATGAGTCTTTGTGAAACACATTACTAGCTGGACACAAATTCTGTCCAGTTGTAACAGTGCTTTACCTTTCTTATTTACTCCATTTGACTCTCCTTTCTGCCCCTTTGCACCTGATCGACCATCCCTTCCTGGAGGTCCCTGTTGGAATACGTAATAACATTCAGATTTATAAACAGTGACAATTGTATTATTATTTAGATTTTCACATTTTTTTATAATTGCTGGAGCAGTTTCCCTCTAGTTAAAGAATGCCTGTGCTCACTAGTTATGGCCAGTGGGAGCATGAAAAATGCACCAGATACAGGAAAGGATAGGTAAGGAGAAAAGCTCCCTTTATACTATCTCAAGATTGTAAACTGAATCTAGCTTCTGAAGACAGCATCAGCAGGAAATTTTTATTTCCCACACCACTCACCCAAGACCAGAAGGCTAATTTATACTCTGATTACTACCAAATTACCAGCAGGTTTGGGCAAGTTAGCACTCACTAGGGACTGGATTCAGTCTTCCTAAACACATCTGTCATGGAACTTTCATCTCTTCAGTGTGGGTTGGAATTGAACATAGGTTGGTCACAGGACTAAAGGAGAGTGTCCCAGTTTCAGTGAGTACCAAACTCATCCAGATGTTCAAGTAGCGTTACCACCAAATACAATGTAAGCCATGTTGAGTGCAATTGATAGAATTAATCTATAGTTTTTAGTAATATCTTTATGCTAAAAGTACATCAATAAATAATTTCACAAGACATTAGCTATTAGACCATTGGATGGTCCTAATACACTCACACTGGGTCCTAGATATCCAAAAGGACCAGCTGGGCCTCGGTTTCCAAGCTCTCCCTTCCTCCCTGGATCTCCAGCTTGTCCTGGCCTACCTGGACGACCAGGTTCCCCAGGTTTACCTATGCCTGTTGGAAGACAGGCACAATCCCCAGCATCTCCTGTCCAAACAGAATAAAGTTCATTAAACAACAACTTGTATTTGTATCCCTTGTATTAACTTGTATCCCTCACACAGGGTAGGGTCCCAGAGCCCTTGACACTGGTGGAGTATGAGGCTGAGCTGGGGGGAGGCGGAAGTGACTGTAGGCAGTGGAATTAAAGAGTGAGAAATACTTAAAACTGATCTTTTTTTTTAAAATCTTGGTATTTTTTTTAAAAAGTAGATTACGTATTGAAATATTACCAGCAAAGAAATTCATAACAATAGTTCCAAAGGATATCGTGGAATTTGTTTTAATTACAGCTATTAGTACCATCACAGTACCATTAAACAGAATCTTTATCCACTATCAAGTTGTAAATTGTGCCGAGTTTTGCCCTTAATAACCCAAGGGTTAAAGATTACTCTTCGCCAATTATTCTGTGCACCAGATATTAATGAAAAGTTCACAGGAGTTCCATGAAGGGACTCTTTGAAATCCATGTCAAATTGGCCTGATTTATCAACAACTTGTTGACTGAATATTCCTTAGTTGTGCATTTATCTCAGATGTATATTTGATTGAATAATCTGTTTAGCAAGCAACTCTCACAATTTCACGTCTCCTGTATTGGCTACCGGCAACATTACTTCTGGCAATAGAGCACTTACCCTTTAAACCACATATTCCACGTTGACCTGGTGGTCCTTGGAATCCTGTTGGACCTTGTGGACCCTGGTACCCAAGCGCATCACAAATGAAGGCTGTTCTTCCAAACAAATAAAAGATATTGGCAGCTTACACACAAAGTCAATTTTAATTACATATACCTAGTTTCCCAAAGCTTTTTTTAAGCTTTAAAACTATCACGACTAATGTCTCTTCTGCTCTCGGTTTTATTAACATTTCAAATTTCAATGGATTTTTAAAAACTATTAACTTATTAATACTATTATCCAAACAGGGCATATGCAAAAAGAAACAGCTTTGTTGTTGCTACATTAATTTAGTTTAGTTGCAACTCCCAGGTCATCATTATTAGTGCCGTGCCAGACTCCACGATGCATGGTTCAATCCTTGCCTTAAATAACAGAATGAATGACCTGGCATTACTAGCAGTAGGTGTTGAGATTCCTCCATACCAGGAATCCATCATCACCTTGGCTGACACAAGAATCTGGTACCTATAGCAGTAGAGAAATGCAAAAGAGTTCTCATGGTTTCTCAGGGAACTATCACAATAGAGCTATTGTGATAGTTATATATTGTGATAATAGTCAGTCCATTTTACTGTATATTCTGTGATGCGCTTTGAGATGTCTCAACTACTTGATAAAGCACTATATCAAATGCAAGGATTATTATGGATGAATCCAAAATTGAATATAGAGGCAACATGCTGCTATGTGATAATAATAATTATCACTTAGTAGCAAGCAGAATATGTTTATTATCAGAATACGCCTGATAATAATCCCTCAAGAAAAAAAAACAATAATAAAATTGGTCACTTCAATCCACGACTGTTTGTGGGACACTGCTGTGTGCAATTGGCTGCCGCGTTTCGTCCACAAATATACAGTCAATTCACTTTACTGTATATTCTGTGAAAAGCGCTATATCAAATGTAAAGATTGTTATTATATTATTATTAAGTGTAAAGTCTTTCAAGGCGCAATCATTTTTTGGGGGATATGCGGTTGATGGGCCAAACAGCTTTTCCTTGTTCCTTGTGTCTTATCCTGTTGACATCTAAAGGCAGAACATGCTTATTTGTTATCATCACAAGCTGTTGTATTTGGACACATTGCTACTTTTTGTCGTGACCAATTTTGGGCATCAAATCATTCCTTGAATCATTCCTCATCACTTCAACTTCTGACGCTAGTGAGCCTTTTGACGAAGATGGGCATTATGATTGTTCTGATTATATGTTCACATACTTGGATTTCCTTTTGCACCTGGAGGACCAGGCAATCCTACTGCACCAGTGGGCCCTGAAATTCCCACCTCTGTACCCATCGATGGTCTTCCAGCATTTCCTTTCATTCCTTTAGGACCTGGTGGACCAGGTAACCCCATATGGCCTGGGAAACCTGCAGAGATAGATAATTTGATTGAAGAAAATATACAGTGAATTAAACACAGGCTGAGCCCAAACCTTGAGCTGAAAGGGCAGAGTGTTAAGCCTTTATTTCACCAACAAACACTTAGGTATTTCAAGACTTGTAGGGCCACTTTGCATTTAAGGATAATGAACATTTTTAAATAACTCTCTGAAGTAAAAGATATAGGTTGAAGGTTACCTGGTCCAGATGGGTCACCTGTTCTGCCTGGTTGACCAACAAGACCGGGAGGTCCTGGTTCTCCATTTATACCCGGTAAACCTGCTTTACCAGGGTCTCCCAGCACACCTGCAGCACAGATTTATTCAGAATAACATACTTCTCATTTGATCGTCAATGTCACTTTCAAAAGGTGTTTAAAAGATGGCATCAGATAATCACATTCAAGTAACCATTCCCAAACTTTGTCAAGATAAGTGTCAGTTTTGAATGAAAAGACTTTATAACCTGGACTGATGTAGATCCAAGCAGTTTCATTTGGTTGGTTGGAAAAATTAAATGACAATGAAATATTGTTGATTTCTTTGGATAGGTTTATCCATGACATTACAGCACCTTGGGATGTCCTCCCAATGTGAAGGTGCTATATAAATGCACTGTATTGTTGACATAATTCACAACAAGTAAAGATGAGAGCTCCTTACTAATGGTGCAATCTACGAGCCAGTAAGGATGGCAGGTCAAGAACTTGCAAAAAAGGAGTTATGGTAGTGGCTATAAACAACTTGCATTAAACTAGAAACATGCACTGCTGTTTATTGCCAGGGACAGTTAGCGATAACTTCCAGCAAGAAATGAAATAAAATTCTACTCATATTGTCATATAAAGCAATTCAGTCACTTATGCCAAGTAATTGGAACCGTCAGCTTCATTTGGATTCCTACCTTTCTCAAAGTTACAAAGTATGAAAGAGGGTCCTAGTTTGCCAGGTAGCCCATGGTCACCAAAGTCTCCCTAAAGTAAACAAGAGAGACACAAGACATTTACAACGTTCAGTCACCCTTCCTCCTCTACTCTCATCCCACAGACTTCAACACATGACCCACATCCATGAGATTCTATCATTTAAGTTAATGGGAAAGTAACTTCCAAGTACTTTCTATTTGAAGGATTCTTAGAAAATGTAGTTACTTTTCTTATATTTTATACATCTTAACAAGAGATCATCATGTCCTGAGGATTTTAAGGATTCAGAGACCAGACTGTTCCATTCCTCGCCATGCCAGCAATGTAAAGAACAAGATTCCTCCTGAATCCTGCAACCTCATTTGTTTTAATGGTGCTTTGGGTTGGCTCTGGGAGCCAAGCTAAAGTCAGCTCAGTCTGCACAGGCAAGTATAGAGCAACAGCCAGCCTAACTCCTGGAGTGCTGTACCTTTAGAGCAATTCCTAACTTGTCCTTCTCACCTTACACTTTCGCTCTTAAATTAAAGTGCAAACATATCTTGAAATATCTTTCTTTCACTGAAGTAATCACTGCAATATTAAGCCTTTTAAAGCTCCAGTTAAGAATGTTGGTCATCTCTTTTCCAAAGAGAACAAGCCCAATTTCTTCAACCTTTCCTCTTAATTTAACTTACCGATACGTAAAATCATCACAGTAACTAACAAGGGCAATTATGAGACCGTTTTATGACCAGTTGATCAGTACTGCAAATAGTGCTTTAGATGAGGTGTAGCAATGCTTTGTACAGTAAAAGTCAACTTGCTTACCTTCCTGCCTGGGAATCCATTTAATCCAGGTCTTCCAGTCAGCCCATGTTTTCCCTAAAATGAATTGCAAACACTGGTTAGATTTGCAAAGACTGGAATATACAAAAAAAGTCTAGAGTGTATTTGCCTTTTACTTCAAATCTCCAGGATTTAAACAAAATCCACCTAGGCACAGTGTTCTGTTGGTGAGATGATCATTGGTACTCTTGTAGTTCTGCCAGCTAAGGGTTCTTTTCCGTTTCCACAAGACATTGCCCTGTACAACATCAAAATTAGGAGCTTGTTGCAGTGATGTACTTCTCACTGTACATCACCAAAGGTCAACCACAAGGAAATGACCAACAAGTCACAAAAGTGTCTGTGTCAGTATAATGCTCAAACTCATCTATTCACCTTCACGGCATGCTGCTCACCAACACAGAGCCAAATGCTTCCTATTCTTTTGAGAATTGATCCAGATGATCAGGCCACAGTTTCAGACCTCAGCAATGTGTCGACGGTAAAGGAATAGAGTATTCGCTGACGAATGAAGCAGTAAATATCCTTTCAATGCCGCATTATGCTCTTGAAGGCACTAATGTGCGCTGGGGTATGGTTCATCGTTTTCAGACCACACGCTGGTGGCGATACTCAAATCATTACTCTTCACACGTGCAGCTTGAATGATGACTGTCAGCAAGCTATGTAGCAACAACAACAACTTGCAGCACCCCTCACTTTTTTTCTCCCTAACCAATAGGAAATTGGGCGAATTTTCTCCCCTGACACATGAAATCAGCACCAAACCAAAATCTAACCTGGGACACTTTCTGAACTGTACAGCCCTGATCAATGCTGGTCAGTGCATTTATACAATGAGGCAACAGCAGAACACTAGAGAATTAAAATTTGAAATAATGATGCCCAAAGACGGGACTCCCGTAGACATATAGACCAGGAACTGAAGTGATCTCAACTTTTTCTCTCTGCAGAAACAAGAATGTTACTCACTAATTAACATTGTCTCACTGGGCATATACAACCCTTATTACAGGATAAATATACATAAATTGGATCAAGTCAACGATTTCCGTACCTTTATCCCGTAGAATCCTGACGGGCCTGGCTTCCCGGGTTCGCCCTTAAAAGTCAACAAATCCATCATCACTGCATCGATTCAATCTGTCATCTTTTACAATTTAAAACATTTGTCATTTTGTATTACACTTATCAAGCCTGAGGGATGTGAATGGTGGATATCAAACATTCCCAGGTTAGCTGCAGTACAGCCTAGATTCAGAGTAGGTTCTCTCTGATTTGCCCCAATGTCCCTTAACCTCAACCTCTAAAGAACACAGCAATGAATTCCATTTCCCACACTTGCCACAATCTCTGATCACGATTGTGGATTTCAGGGTAATCAAACTATTCAGTCACTAACTGCTGTTGGTTATTCGGGAGTTTCAGCAATTGGAGGGGCAGACATACAGCTCCAACAGTGAAACAATCGGTGGCTGCTAACATTATCCATCACCTTCTTCATGGTCTAGAGCGTTTGTTATTCGAAATATTACCAATCTGGCTCTTCGCTGCATTATTTCCTGTATATTAAATGTGTGTGTTGCGTTTACATATCTGTGAATGCTACCAGTAATTTGTGTGAGTGTCTACGCCTTAAATGTGTAGTTTGCATGAGTGGTTATGTGTACAAGTATGAGCGTGTATTTGTGTTCATATTGATCTGGTGGGTTTTTAGGTATGCATCCCGTGTCTATGTGCTTATGTATGTGTAGAATGTATGCTCGTGCATCTGTGGAATGCATGGGCTTAAGTGTATGTGTAGAACATATGTGCATGTGGTGGATGTAAGTGCTTGTTTTTTTGCCACTTTTGTAGCAGACATGACATAAGATTTGCATGGAGCACCCACAGCCATCACACAACTCTTACAAAGTGGTGCAAACAGAACAATAATATGTTGACTTTGTACTATGTTTATGTGGAACCTGAGAATCAGCCAGAGCTGAAAAATTAGTGCTGTCCCTTACCTGAGGCCCAGGGAAACCAAGGTGGCCTTTTTCCCCCTTTTCAAGTGTACAGTCATCACAAGTACCCTGGATGTGATTAAAAAGAAAATTAATAAAAAATGTTAATCTGCGCCAATTGCTTTACTGAATTTGTGCCAGTAAAGGTATAAGAAAATCTGAAGCCCAGCATAGTTAAATGTAGACAGAGTTATCGGCAGCTTTAGAGATTAAAAAATTATACATGCTTTGATAAAGACGTTATCTTAACTAAATGCGATTTACAATAAATTAAAATGAAGTTCATAATGAGGAAAGCTAACAGGAAAGGGCAGGACACGCTGAAAACGTTTGTCATTTCTCACAGTTTTGAAGTGTTACATGGTGATTATCTTAGCTTGGAGTGAGGTTTGATGTTTAACAAACATTAAGAAGTTTGGATATTGGACCTTATAATGTAAATAATTCAGTCTATACAACTGTAGGAGATGTTACAGCTAAGCCTCAATAGGAGCTCAATCAGCATCCACACATGAACGAACATCTTTAGCAGGGTTCGCTGCATAGGGATCATGAATAAAAAAAATCTGGCCGAGTTTTCTTCTTTAAACCAGGGGCTCTGCGGCTGATTGTATGTCCCCCCGCCCCAACTGCTGAACCCAGTTGGTTTCCGCCTGTGCGAGGCACCCGGCTAACCCAAAATAAAAGTACCAGTTTATTTATTTTCAAGTCGTGTTTCCTTCTTTAAAGCCGAAGCTACACTTTTGTGAAATGAAGAAATTTAGGGACTTTCAAAAAACCTCCAGAATACTCAGTGCCGGACACCATTAAAGGGTAGCCCTGCTTTCAATGAACCTTGCATCATTTGGTCACGATGGCGTTGAAGCATTATAACATTGTGAACCTGACAACCACTTTTAATTTTTACAAATCCCAAACAATAGTTTTCAAATGAATTCATAATCACAAGAATTAAAAAGGTGTAAGATTAAAATTCAATATTTTGTGGAGAAAAATATTCTGTACTCACATCAGGTCCAGGATCTCCTATAGGCCCAGGGATTCCTCGGATACCTTTATTACCCTGTAAGAGAAAAAGGCTTTCTTAAAAGATGTATTAAGATTTAATCTATTGAGTGATGTAATGTTATGATTTGCCAGTTCCCTGGATGTTTGACAATGTGGAAGTGTACTCTGCTTTCCTGAGAATGAGAGGGTGTACAATAGATATTGGGTTTTGTTATCTGTGCTTCTGCTCCTGGAATCTGATTAGTCCACTTCTAGGAAGGCAAACTTTAAGAGGATCGCACAATGATCATCTCCATTTGTAATGCTCTGGTTACAGTCTTTGTTGCCTTGCTTCATGTCCTCTCATGGAGATTTGACTCAGACACAATCATTCTAATACCCTCTTTGCAGCCAAGAGACCTTGGTTTCTCCTCCTGTGCTGCTGGTCGCACAGAGGACATTAGAATGAATCTGAGTAAAACCTCAGTCAAAGGACAATAGGGTCTAATTTGCAGGTTTGTGGTTACAATATAAATGCAAACACATAAGAACTGAGAAAAATATAGGTTCCTTTAATTATAATTATATATAATGTATAATTATATAATTAACAAATGAAGAAGATTACAGGATATTCTATAATTCGTTACATTGATTGTTAGTTAGTTTTATAATTGAGTACGTTTCCAATGGTTGACCCGACATTCACATTAAACCCAAAGAAAGCACTGGTGGTATGAAGGAATCTTAAACATTTACTTTGGAAACCATCACTAAAATAGTAAGAACATAAACTCAAACAAGTGCATTCCTTCCTGTAAATGTTCTTATAGTTCAGTCCTGGTTGGAAACCAGGGTAAAAGCTCACACTAACAAATAGCTGTGAGCTTGTGAGGAGGTTATTTTCTGACATGTAATGCTGGTGTAAGATTGCGGTTTGGGAGACGAAGATAGAGGCACATACTCAGAAGTTTTTGAGATCACTGATGTTTCGGTGTCTCAAACCGCACGGCAGGTGTCAATTGCTTGTTATACCTGACATCCTTCAACGATGATCACTTCAGGTTGTTCGATGAGTTGAGATTCCCCCGGAGGCCCCAAATCACCTTGTGCACCCTGGGGGTAGGGAAGACGTGAACAGATATTAACACCAAGAACGAAACATACACACAGACGGACACAACGCCAATAACTGCTAAAAGAAATGAGCCAAAATTGGTAAGTCAAGTTAAGCATAAGCACAAAACTAACAGCACATTACTTGTTATAGATACTGTCATCTCAAAATAACATTGATCAGATGAAAGCTAAAGGTACGAATAAAGAAGTGAAATGAAATGAGGTTGACTGCCCTGTGGCATGCCTCGGGTTCCTGTATGCCTGTTTCCCTGTCTATTAGTTCCCTTCAGTCCAGCCTTCACACTTACACAGACAGGACCAACATCATCATCTTTATCTACAGTGAGAGAGCATGCTGACCAACTAGAAATAGCAACCTTGTAGCAAAAGCACCACATTCAGCTCTTGGTTATCAACAAAAAATGTAAAATAGCATTTTGCACTATAATGAATTGTTTACTGTTCTTATCCTTCAAAAATGATCACTCAGTGGGACAAGGAACAGCATAGTTTAAAACCAGAGCTGAGAAAGAAACGAATGAATGCTGCAAATCTGAAATAGCAGCAAAAAATCTACAAACCTATTAAAGAACTGAGACCCAATGTTCCACCTAGCCTTAGTCTGTAAGACAATTTTGTCTTAAATTTAAGATTGCGCAGAACTGTGGAAAATTCCTAAATTCAGTGATAATTTGGAAGCACCATTTCAGTAGTTCTTAAATAAATTTGCTTCCAGGTTAAAACAGAATATAAGAATTTTCTACAGTTTTGCTCAATCTTATATTTTAAGATTTAAAGGCAAAAACTAGGGGGATTCCTTCTCTTTCAGGTGTTGATTTGCATGTTATGCATAGCCAGTATTTATCGGGGCAGCTATGGAACCCAGAGCTGCACTATTTCTATGGGCCTGTGGATGACACTGCAGAGAATAATGGCATAACCAAGCTGAACCCACGGGTACATATTAGCATTTCTTGACTATTCTATGCTCTGGAGGTCAATCATCTGACCACGTCCTACAATACAACAAAATTGGCTCCAATAATTTTATCAGCTGTAAACTATAAGCAATATAAGTGCTCCAAGTTGCCATCATGCATGAAGGGTGTTATACAATGCCAGTTGTTATATATATATTATATATATATAAGCCTGGGTGAGTTAGAAGTGTGCAAGTGTGACCTTTGATTGCTTACCTGTTCACCTTTTCTCCCTTTCGATCCAATCCTTTCACTGCCCTGCGAAAAGAAATTCCTGTCAGAAACGAAAACCTCAGGTGTAGTCTGTCTTTCACACAAACAACACAGGAGCTTAGTACAGTAGTACAGTAGAAACAGAATTCTGGTAAATAACTTTTTAAATACTTTTGGTAACCCAGCCTAGCTTCTGTTCATTCAAGGACATTATTAAACAGATTTGACTTACCGTTTCACCCTGTAATCCTGGTAACCCTGGAACACCCTGGAAAGAAATTTTAATTTTTTTAATAAGTTAAAGTTTAATATTGTGGGGAGGGGAGGTAGAATTGGAGGAGAGGAATGAAAACACTTAATTTATTTGAGCGTTTAGACCACACAGATTTGGGCGTGTTCTGAAAAGATTTTTAGTTTGTTTACATTTCAGCTTCAGTGCTTGTTTCTATGATTATTCTGACGAAGCCTTATTGTACACGTGCTGACATGTCTGACTGGAAACCATTCCTTCAGTTGGCCAGATTCCATTTAGGATCATTGTTTCCCCCCACCAAGATAGGGCTACATATGGTTGCCCAATGGATAGGAACTTTCAGTGGATCAGAGACATGATTCTCCTGATAAACCCCATAGATCAACGCTGTAGCTTTTTGTAGGTCAGTTACCTCTATTTCTGTAAGATTCCCAGCACCATGTATAATTTTTCAGTACTGTTTCAATAACTGTGTTGGTAATATCCATTTTCCACCTTCCTTGATGACCGAGTTGAACATACTTGAATCTAGAATTAATTTTGTTAGCCTTTGGCCTTTGGAGAGGCCATCAGTTATCTCATCCTTTGTGAGGCCATAACTCAATCTTCATAACCTCGATGCACACTATCACTTACTGTTCATCCACATGGCAATTTTTAGATATTATAAGTGCAGCATTTGATCATGAAAGGCAATACCAGTTGAGCCCAGTAGCTAACATCTGTTCATTCAATTTCACCAAATAACAATGGAACCGACTGATTTTTCCCAAGGCCAGTCAAGCTCAGTTGTAATGCTACAAGTGCTAGAGATTGGCACAGAACAGGGGGTCAAACCTAGGACCTTCCGGGTCTATATGAGCGGCCATAGTAAGTCATTAATTGCTTCATTCTTTTTGTGCCTTCTGTTAATTTAATGAAAGCTTCTGTTGCTTCAACACAGCAAAGCAGTGAAATCAACTTTGAGGTTTTGTAGTGAAATAGTTGAAGAATTGAATTGGATTGTACTCACCTGCAAACCTGGTAAACCTGATCGACCAACAGGACCTTCAACACCTGGCATACCTGGAGGACCCTGTTGTGGAGATGGGTGGGTGAGGAAGCAAAAGAGTTTATTTCATGGACAGCAATATCCCTTGCATACCATGTTTCTCTATGCTTTTACAGGGAATGCAGTGACTGTACAAGTTATAATAATAATAATCCTTGGACTTGATATTGCACCTAATCACATTTTCAAAAAGAAAGGTCTTTTGGCGGGATTTGTAAGTGGGGAGGGAGGGGGCAAGGAGGAAGGATAACCAGCTTGAGAATCATGCAATAAAGCTTGAATGGCAAGGTATAATAATAGCAATAAATATTGCAATTGAAACAATACTTGCACTTTTGCTTCATTCTTTATTTAGTACCTAAAGCCAATGTTTGAACTCGTGAAATTCTTAAAAGTTACTTACAGTCAACCCTCTTTTTCCTGGTGCTGCTTGATCACCCTATTGACAAGAGAATTTGCAGTTACATTATACTTCTTAATAATAATACTTTCATTTGATATAGCACCTTATCACATTGTTGAGACGTCTCAAAGCGCTTCACAGAATACACTGTAAACTGAATTGACTGTAAATTTTGTGCAAGAGAATTTACTGTCAATTCACTTTACAGTACATTTCTTGGAGATCAACCTTTAAAATACTTTTGCGTATCACCTGTGTTGTATGCTTATACTTATATCTGACAAGGACCAAATTCTGTCCAGAAACACAGCATCAGTTTGAACAATATTACGAATCCTGATGTTTCAGTGTTTGCTTCACGCTGAATGTTTCAACTTCCCATTTTTGACAAGAAGGATAAGGCAGACTCAGGAAAAGAAACTCGAGGAAAGGGAGCAAAATGGAGATAAATACTGTACCAACATTAGCATTTGCTAAAATTATATATATATTTAAAATTTCAGACCATTGACTTAACAACTACATTATCTGAGTGGTGTAAGTAATATACACTGTAAAGACAGTGCATGGAGAACGGCTAACAATGATCAGAGCTTTAAGTGAAACACTCACTGGTAGACCCTTTGTGTCACATGTATCAATTATAGAGATTCCTTTTGCACCTTTCAACCCTGGCAATCCCTGTAACAATAGAAAGAAAATACATTTTAAGTCAATGAAAGACTAGCCAGGGTTTAATGAAAGTGCTGATAACTTATCGCAACATTTGTACCAATATGTTCTGGCACAAAGCTTATAAACAATCTTGCTGTGTTATTCTTACCAGAAGTATATTTTTCTTACCGATAACCATTAAAACTTTTACCATGCACAGTATCTATGTTCAGAACATGAAGTGTAATGTAGAAATGAATGAAGACTGCATTTTAGATTCAAAATGTCAATTGTAATGTTAATTAATTCCATAACATGCTGTTTAATGAAACCTTTGCGTCTTCTAACCTCCTACATTCTCTCTGCTTAGTTCCGACAACAATCTATGGTGTTCATGGACTTTAAATTAACATCAGGGAGATTTGATTAAACCACACCACTATATGAGACAGGAATTGAGGTGTTGGTCTCTCTTGGGGGCAGCAGACATTGTATAAGGTGAGGTGGTACAAGTTAAATGCTGTGAGGAATTGGAGATGGTAGAATCTCTGCCAAGTGCTTGGAGTGGTGGCCTTATTGAAGAGTTGTGTGGAAATATTAGATCATATAATGTAACTTAGACACCTTGTTTGCCATAATATTTCTATAAAGTTTGTAACAATAATAAACGTAGGAACCAGAAGGGTGGGAGATTATATCATGATTGGTCCGCTCACTCATCCCTTTTGAGATTGATAAAAGTGAGTACCATGTCGAAAACTTCCCTTCTTAGGGTAGAGGTAAGAAAGATCTCGCTGGGGTTAAACAAATGTCAAGGAAATAAATACATCCGATGAAACCAGACAGGTCTTTCAAGACATTGCTGACGGTTGACCAATCTATCGGACTCATTGGTGTCACTTGCAGGCATTCCCTTAACTCTGCTAGCTATAGCCCTATTATCATGGGGAGACTTTCAAAGTACTTTGTAAACTATCAGTGTTACATTGTACAAAGGCTACACTTTCCCATTGTTTCCTCTCCTTTGACCCATATCCCTCTATTGCTTAATATCCCTCTGAATGACTGAACTCAATTAATCTTGTGCGCAGCAGAGGTAGTGTAGTCAATCTCATGTATGAACAACTCATAAATTGAATTAACTGTAAGTCTTACAGGTAAACCAGGATTTCCTAAATATCCATCAATTCCTGGGAGGCCAGGATCTCCTCTTGGTCCATTGCACCCATCTAGTCCAGGATGACCCCTTGGGCCTTGCAATCCCGGAAACCCCTGGGGAAAGAAAGTGGTAAGAAATTGGTAATGAGCAGTTTGTCTGATCCAAGTCAATTTATTTTATTCAGTAACATTGTAGACAGGAAGCAGAAATGTTAAAATGAACATACTCACCGGAATGCCATCCACTCCCTGGAAGCCAGGTTTTCCTAAAGGACCCTGCGAAATAAGAGGCAGTTCTGGACTATGAACAGGAAAGGAAATCTTTGCTTTGCTGAACTACATTATCCTCCCCAACCGCCCCGAGAAGAAGAATATTTACAATAGTTACACAGGTGAGAGGTGGAATTGGGGAGTGAACTGGATGGACGGTTTTCTGCTCTGTTATTTCTGTGTATCTGTTGTCTTCCTACAGCACTTTGATGTTGTTATTATCAGGAATGTACTGCCTGAAAGGGTGGTGGAAGCAGATTCAATAAGTTTCAAAGGGGAATTGGATATATAGTTGAAAAGAAAAAAATTGCAAGGCTATGGGGGAAGAGCGGGGGAGTGGGATTAATTGGATAGCTCTTTCAAAGAGCTGGCACAATGGGCCAAATAACCTCCTTCTGTGCTGTAGGATTCCATAATTCTATGATGGCTGGTGTGATGAGCTGGTGACCTCCCAGCCCTCTATCAAGCTCATCTACTTGAGCCACCAGACTGTGGGCAACACCAGCGTGCAGTGACTTACCAGCAGAATTTCATGATCAGTAAAATATGTAATTTCAACGTACCTCATCCCCTTTGCTTCCACGTGATCCAGACAATCCAGATTCCCCTCTTTGTCCTTTTATTCCTCGAGAGCCCTGGGGTCCTGGTGATCCGGGAAATCCCAGAAGGCCTTGACTTCCTAAAATACCTGGATGTCCCTGAATTTCAAACACGAAATGTTGACGTTTGAAAATGTTGACTTTCATATGAGGTCAATTCAGAAACAGAAGCTATTTCAAGCAGTTTTTACATTTTATTTGTGGGGGGTCTTTGGGGCGTGTCAACATGGAAAGACATTGAAAACTGCAAAACTTTCTGTTTCACCTATGCTGGGATGTTTGGTGGACTTCTTGACTTTATCTGGCAATGGCAACTTCACGCCGCCAAAATAAGTACATTTACTAATGAGCAAACTCACGAGTCAATTGTCAGCAACAAACACTCCCAAAGCAGGTTTTCACATCAGTTAGACATAAGAGTAATGTCATGTATCTGGTGAAGAGCACCCTCTGTTGCACCAGAGTGACATTTCAGCGAGTGAGTCTTATTGCTGTCATCCTCTGCTTAGTAATAACCGGGCTGAAACTCCCCAAACTAATATCATTTCCGTACAAGCAACAATCGTAAAAGAGATTAATCTATAAGAAAATCAAGGGTGTGAAGACTACACTCTCCCCCCGACCCCCCCAATACACACTCTGCTAGTGAATGTGTGGAGTCCTGTAGCTCAGTGGTTAGAGCACTCGGTTTGCAAGCGGGAGACCTGAGTTCAATTCCAGGAAGGTCAGGGCGAAACCTTGGGCAAGTTTCCTTACTCCACACAGAGCCTAATAATAATCCCTCCAAAACCCAAAACAATAATAAATTGGTCATTTTCAATCTACGACTGTTTGTGGGACACTGCTGTGCGCAATTGGCTGCCACGTTTGCCCACAAATATACAGTTGATTCACTTTACAGTGTGTTCTGTGAAGCGCTTTGGGACGTCCTCCCGACGTGAAAAGCGCTATATCAAATGCAAGGATTATTATTATTCGCATTATTAAAGGAGGGTGCACACTCGTGCAAAGAAACTGAGGAGAGAGAAAGAGAGAGAGAGAGGATGAAAGAGGCAAGCACAAAAAGCATGCCCATTGGCAATTCATTCCAGGAACGCAAGTGGATGTGCAGAAGGCGTTTCAGTTAAAGCAGAGATGTCTGCTTTGATAAAGATGCACATTTACAGATGAACTCATATTGGAATGTATATGATCTTAACAAGAATCGTATTCGCATTGAAAGCTTTTCGGTTTGGAGGAGTTTGCATCGCTTTCTTCTGAAATAATAAAAATTTTCTTACTTACTGAATAGTTTTTTTTTAAATAGGTTGTAATCTGCATATATAATCTGTGATTTAACCCAGCTGCTAGCCCTGATTTCTATAAAGGTTATTGTTGAGGCTATGCATTCAATTCTTGGTTGGCTTACTAACGATATAATCACACTTAACCCTTTAGAATATTTCACCCAGTTTTACGTAACTCTCATTGCTATGCAAATGGCAGAACTCAATCAATGGAATGTTAGCGGAAAGATCTTTTCTGGAACAAAGCTATTTCATCGAAAACGGATCTGTATGGAACAACATACCATGAGCTTGTTCTGTCAGACCAGTGGTTTGCGTGCATTTGGTCTAACTCATAAAAACATTGGCACAGAATGAGAAAGGGCATTTCAGGACATTACATCTGTTCCCTGTTCATACAGCAACAACAACACAGCAACAATGGCATCAACAACTTCCCTTCACACCGAGTAGCGTCTTGGAACTCTGAACAATAAAACCTTACATGGACTTCACCTCACTCACTCTATATCCTGGGAGAAAGTTCTGTGTAGATATTCCCTGGATCCTAGTCAGCTGATTTTGCATATAATAGCACTGACTGTGTATATAACAGCACTGAATGTTTTAATAAAAGACTGAGTCACGAGCAGTCGTTTATCTCAGACCTTTACTACTATCAGATTTATATGGAAGTAGATACTAATTATACTAAAATATCAAGATATGTGAATGAGCTTGGGCTATCACTGTATTATTGGAACTGCTCTCTGATTACTGTGCAACTGATTCTGATATTATCAGAGTGCAATCAAAACATTAGGAATCTCTGAACCGGGCAGAATTGAGGACATTCCATAGAAATCGGAACCAGGGAACCTTTTATAAAGCCTACTCCTGATCTAGTAACTATCCCCCAAATATAATGTTGACTGTTTGGGGGATGCAGCAAATTGGCTGCCATATTCATCTACAAATTACACGGTCCCTATACTTTACAGTGAATCCTGTGAAGCGCTTTGAGACGTCACCCTGAAGTGAAAGGCACTGTACTAAATGCAAGGATTAGTATTATTATAACTTCCATCCAATATGCTTGGCTGCATGGATGTCTGTCATGTATACATATACTGTAGATATGTATCATTTATATATATATTTCTAGTTTCAATACACATCACCTTATACTTTTCTACCAGTTGATTTTAACACCTCTCACTGCTTAGATCTGGAATGCTATTTATCCTCACTATATCTGTGCTCTGCATTGTGTTGAGCAACTTTTCAGTCTAACCATAAAAAATCTTGTGTTGGACCTTTATCAAATACGATGATATTGTGTTCACAAGTATTTTCTCCGAAACAAGACTAAGTGATCTATAATATCCACACTTTTGTCTCATTTCTCTTACAGGAGCAGGTTTGGATGTAAAGCCCCAAGAACAGGCAACCTGCCAACACTCATTGTCCTGTGAAGAATGACCCCTTTAGGGAAGGTACCAGAGGGCACCTGACAGCCATGGATAACAGAGTTCAGGAGAAAATTGAGAATGACCCGCTTGATTTTAGTTAGCTCACGCTCCATACTCTTTCACCGTCCTCAATTTTTCAAGCGTCTATCTTGCTCCCTTTTAAAATAATTTATGTTCTTTGCTTCTGCGTCAGGAGCCTTGTTGGCGCTACTCAGGTCATGATCTGGTGCAGATCTGACAGCCCTGTCTTGTCTCTGCAATACCACAGTTGAGTTGAGAAAACTCTCTGTTCCTGCCATTTCTAACACCTGCCTCTTATCGCCTGCCTCGGTTGATCTTGTCAGCCGACTTGCAACCTGAACCTATCCACGGTTGGAAGATATCAGGCAGTCCATCGCTACTCATGGCCACGTGCCTGTGCTTGTTTCCTGAACCTTCTTCTCTCTTTGATAATGTAACACAGGCCCGGTCAACGAATATCAGGGAAATAATATCAGCAGAAGATCTGTGCTCAGTAAACTTGTTGCAATGGTACCACAGCTGTACTACATCTGCTCATTTCTTCAGGAATCATCTGACATCTGATAATAGGGGAGATGTGTCAACTGAAACTGAATAAAATGCCCTCACAAGATTAAAAGGTGTATAATGACAGATACATTTGAAAGGTGTAATCTGACCTTCGCGTTCAGACTCTGGCACTTTATATTATCTGAAGCTCTTGATTGTATTCCAGCCTACTAATCATTCCATGATCAATTACTCTGTAAAGCTACCTGACCCCTGAATTTCTTTACCTAAAGGGTAAATTAACGACTGGAATAGATTGCTAGAAAGGGGGAGAATGAGGCCAGGACATTGAAACTGATTTAAAAAGCAGCTTCATGCTGTGATGGGAGGACAATTCTATTAAAGGATGGGCATTATGGAGGGATAAGAGCAGTCCGTCCTCCTAAAGTAGCTGCCAGTCCATTTCCTTACATTAGTCTATTTGATGTGTTGGTTGATCAGCCTGAATTGATCAGCCTTAGAAAATGTGTCGGTTGATCAGCCCATCACGGGGTAATGTGAAGGAAACGTTTTGTTGTGGAGTGTCCCAACACTGTATGTGTATCTGGAGATTGGAGAGCTCTTCACTCTCTCCCTCCCCAGACCCTTCTAACTGAGTCCTGACAATTTGTACCTCAGGATTAAACGCAACTATTACAATTCTGTCACAGGCTGATCCCAATGCACACTGTTAGACACACTTTCACTTTGCATCATGAGCAATGGTGTCATTGATTGATCGAACAGCAAGAAAAAAGCTTCCAGTCAAATAAGCCTCACACATCTTGCGTCACACACATACGTCTCGCCACTCCACAAGCTGCAATGGCTATATCCAGCAATGGTGTTGGCCATTGCACCATGCACATCCATGCAAGATGTAATTCCAGTGTCTGATACAGCGCTTTGTCATGTCCGACCATTTCAGAGCGTTCCTTGCAATGCGTAATTGAGAGTAGAGATTGCTTCTGTGTTTGAAGCATTTGGTATATGTGTGGTGCTGCATTAAGTGGAATTTATTGGCTTGTTTGCTTCTTAGAAACGGATTCTGAAACTGGTGGAATAACTGGTGGAGGAATGGCTGGGACAGAAAACCCTTTATGGCTGGGATGGCAAATTTGGCAACAGTTATTTCTCAAAACCAGAGAGTCAAGATAGAATTCGTTCTAGGATGGCAAATATGGGAATGACTGCCCCAAAACAATCCTCATTGAGGAGAGGTTAATGCATTTGATCTTTTCATAGTAACAATTAAGAAAAAACTGTTTGAACTGATAAGTGATCTAATAATCTCTATCCACCTACCTATGCCCTCACCATCTGCAGTACATTTACAAATGTGAAGCATTATGCTGCAATATGTTGCAGTTCCGTTTACCTGATCATAGAGAAGGCTAAAAATCAATTGCTGCAGGTTTTAATAAGTGTTTTACGTACCCGGGATCCTTTAGGTGGGAAACATTGGCAAACTGAGCAGTCTCTTCCATCACAGGGACCAGCGTATTGGATGTGACCCTGAAAGAGCAAAAATCGCCCAATGAGACACAGCCCNAAAAAAACATAGAGCTTCTGGATAGGAAGAGTTAGAGAATACAGTAGCGTTTGGTGAAAGTAATAGTGAAACCTCCTTGTCAACACATTGTTCTAAATCACAATTATTGCCACTGCTAGAAGAATAAAATGTACTATTTCATGAGGGCTACTTTGAACTTCCCTCCCTTGTTACTTTCAATTTCTCCCCTTTATACCTCCCAGGCTCCAAATACACCATTCCACACCTTGTTAAAATCAAAAATGTGTTGCTCAGTTTCCAACTCTTGATTTTTTTTCCCCCAGGATGTGAATACTATAAAATTCTCAGTCTTCCCTGTTTCCTCCAATCTATAAACTCTCTTGACTTGACCTAATCACTGCTGAACATATCCTGTTTTTTCACCCATTCTTTTCAACTTTAGTCACTTTTCTTTTGACCTTGATCCTTCACCTTGGTTCCTCAATTAAAATAGGACTTACGTGCTTTCAAATTTATACCTTTCTCCAAAGATTATGAGCTTTACTTTCGATTCAATTATACATACCTCTTCCTAAACACCCAGTACACAAGAAGCAAAACCCAGGAGGGTGAGTGAACTGGAATGGTGAAATCAAATGAGCTAAAGAGTTTCTTAACCCAACCGTGTCTTTGGATCTTGTCTTGTGCTCCAACCATTATCAGATCTACTCTCTCACATGCGGTCCCTATCCTTGGGGAATGGTATCTCACTCTGACCTCACTCAAGCTGAATTAGTTACTACCTGGTATGTGTAAACTTGTGCCTCAGTCACTCTGCTCAGACTGCATAACATACTCATGCCCATTTTGATAATACTATGGGTAGCAGATTTCACCATCGCCACTGAATGTTGTCATGTCTACTTCAGAACTGAAATGCCAACTCTGCACTTGATTGAAACTGGGAATGGCATTATTGCCAAAACGACATTGTTCAGCAACCTCACAAACATACAGTCTTTCCAAACAAGCCTGTTACCGTTGCTGTTCTGAATGCAACGCAAAGCATGCGCACAACTAGATCATGATCTCACAACATTCCAATCAATGTAAAATAAGTTATTTTATACACCAATGTTAAAAGCAATGTTACTTCATTACAGCCATAACTACTGTCATATTTACTCTACTATAGCTATACTATTGTGTCTTTCTACTGTAACTCCACTACCATATGTTTTCTGCTATAACTGTACAACTTTTTTACTGTACTGTACAGTACACCCTCCTACGTCCACCCCCCCCCCCCCCCCCGCCCTACACTCATTTCTACTCTAACTATATGTGCTGGGTTGACACTGATCACAGACAACTTAGTGTAACTGCCCCTGAAATACACAGTAAACAACCACAAGGCTGACCAGACAAAAAAAAAAACAGTTTCTAAGTAGAATAAACAGCTGATGTCAAAAATGATTTCTCCATTATGTCTACTGTCTAAGTAAACATTACCCTCTAACAACAATAACAAATTGCATTTATATAATTCCTTTCACATCGGGAGGAAGTCCCAAGGCATTGGACAGTCAGGCATTTGGACACGAGCAGGGGATTGGGATCAGGAGGAGTGTAGGGCAGGGGGGTAGAAGTAGGAGGGTGACCAAACGGGTGGTCAAGAAGGAGGGTCTTGAGATGTGCCTTGAAGGAGGCAAGGGAAGGAGCAAGGTGAAGGGACGGTGGGATGGAGTTACAAATGGTTGGGGGAGAGAGGTTGAAGGCCCGACCGGCAATGGTGGTCGGGCCTCCTTTCTACCTCTGTGTTCTACTAAAAAAAATTAATGCAGTCGACAACCTTTGACAAAAAAATCCCACAACCGCTTGTGACTGCTGAGGCTTTGAGCCTGAATATTCAGACTGGAATTTTACGTTGGAGACTGACAGTCTGTTATCTGCAGATAAACCAGCAATCAGATGGAGGTTTTCTACTGGTTAGGTCTGTCACTAAAAAATGGGGGCTGGGGAAGAAGAGGAATGGGGGATAATGCGTTAAAAATTCTCTGTTTTGATATTGAGGCTGAATATTAGTGTGTAACGCTGTGACTCATTTCTCATGAGAACTATAAATAGGGTTTTGCTCAAGGGCTATTCTCTGGAATAATCCTAACCCGGCAGTGTCCAGCCATTGGTTCTCACATACTCTACAGACAGTGGAAAATGGAAGATAGAAAACAGAGATGAGTCCAATCTTTGGTTTGGAGATCTCAGCTGGGATGGGAAGTGGATGCTACAATTGGGACCAGTTCCCCACCACGCTCAGATCGGAGATTCGCTAGGGTTCAATTGACCCCCAGCTGAAAAACACATGTATGGGTCTCAAGTGAGGATTGGATCAGTCGAGCTGTGGTTCCTCTTGTCCTCATCAAAATCAAATATCTAATACGTAAAGAAGAGGTGGGGTACCTTGCACTTCTGGAACTATATGCCACTGTGTGCAGTGAGCAGAGAGAGGATTGAAGGGGCAGCATATAAAGTGAAAAGGGAACAGACAATGGAGGTAGATATTGATCAGAGATCACATTCTGACACTACCCATTGGATACCTACCATGTTCCTGAAATCTTTTCTTTAATGTGTGACTGCAATCACGAGACACACCAGGTGCCACAACTATATTATCTGCGTTGTGTCATGCTTCGATTAAAAGCTTGGCAGTGCTTTTAAAAAGAGGAATGTTCCATACATATCAGACTAGTTATCAAACCTGGTGTAATTTTGTTATAATTACAATTTATCAAATTGCAACAAGCTTTCAACCAGACAGGTTGATACGACAGATCCAGGCATGTCACTGAACCTTGGAAGACATAATTTAGCTCTGTATCTTATTGGCATATGATTAAAATCCAGCAATTCTATACCTAGTGACGCACAAGGCTACATGCAATACTTCACTGTTTATATCTGGATGACCTGTATATACAGTACACACCGGTTGAAATTATCAGCTACATACCTCACAACCTCCAGACCAGGTAGTGGGACGTGAGCCTTAAAATATGGAACAAACATCCAAAACATGAGATACGTGTTTTCGGTCACTTTGAGTATTCCAAATATTGTAACATATTATTGTTGTGAAACTCAGGTAACCTCCAAGGGCCATCTGCAGGACTCCAACAAAGTTGAAATGAGTATGAGAGAAGATGAGACATGCACTAATGATGAGTTGGTACTACCTTTGGTTGTAAATACTTGTAGTTTGTAGGAGGAATGGAAGACTGAGGTAAGATCAGGTAAGGTAAGGTATTGAAGAGGTCCTCCGAAAAAGTACATTAGAATGGTTGGTGCTAATTTCAACGTTAGTGAGGAAGCGAGCAGGGGGAAGACCAGGTGAAATTATATACCGGGGGCTTTGGAAGAACAAGGAACAAAGTTTGGAGGAGCGATGGCCTTAGAAATACCAATAAAATCAAGACATAAAGGTTGCTGTAGAGCAAGAAAGAAAGAGAGGCTGGAGGTTATTGGTGAGAGAAGAATTGTGTATCAAAACTTAAGATGAGCATAAATATGATTTCCTTATTTCAGATGCTATTTCTGATCCCAACCCCCAGCTTGGGTCCAAATCCTGACTGTCCAGTGCCTTGGGACATCCTCCCAATATGAAATGCCCTATACAAATATAATTTGTTGTTGTTGATTACATGGCAGTGTACAGTCAATTTGGCTCCGTACTTTGCCAAGGATTCTGACTGAGAAACTACTTGTTTCTTGTAGCTGAACTGGAATCAACATTTTTATTAAGTTACATCAAAAATCACAAAATTGGCGCTCATCTGCTTATATTTTTCTAAATCACGGCAATGTCAATGTATGCCATAAAGATAAATAGCTATGTAAGATATTTATACAGATAAATATACCGATCCATTTACTCTTTACAACTCTATCTTATTTCCTAATTCATAAAATCCCACATCCATGCCATGACCCGCTTTGCCTTCCCCACCTCCGCAACGTCGCCCGGCTCCGCCATTGTCTCACACCGCAGGCCACCGAAACCCTCATACATGCATTCATTAAATCAGGGCTCGACTATGCAAACTCATTGCTTGTTGACCTCCCTAACTCCTCCACAGGCTACAGATCATCCGGAACTTTGCAGCCCGTGTCCTCTCCTGCACTAGACTCCACGACCCTATCACCCCCATCCTTGCCCAACTCCACTGGCTTCCCATCACACAGAGGATACAGATCAAGATCCTGGTCCTCACCTTCAAAGGCCTCCACGGTCTTGCTCCCCCCTACCTCTCTGACTTCCTAATCCCCTACAATCCTGTTCGCTCCCTCCACCCAGCGGGCTCCAGCCTGCTTCACATCCCCTGCCTCACTCGCCCCGCTATTGGCAGGCGGGCCTTCTGCTACTCTACCCTCACCCTCTGGAACTCTATTCCGCAGTCCCTCTGTCTCATCCCCTCCCTTGCCACCTTCAAGACCCATCTCAAGACCCTCCTCTTCAACTGTGCTTTCGATCTCCCTGCTTCCCCCCCCCCACCTGCCCTCCACCCTCCCCAACAGCGACTCCCAGTTCTGGTCTATCTCTGTCTGTCCAGCGCCTTGGGATGTCCTCCCGTCATGAAAGGTGCTTTACAAATGTAATTTTGTTGTTGTTGTTGTTGTTGTAACACCGCATAGCTTGCCGTTGATATCACTATTTAGTTAATTAACTCTACAACAGCCCCTAAAACATCCAATCGAACAACTCTTAACCTCAACACCTCAAACACAAAAATAATTCTGCATTGATCCCAAACACAGGCACAAAACATCCAGAAGGAATTCTATGCAGACCCAAATGCAGATTATGGATGCCGAGGAGTTAAACAGGCAGGTTTCCAAAGTTTCTACTTGTCCCTATTACTGGTGGGTGCTTGTCATCATTCTAAAGCTCTTCCTCGTCTATTACTATCCTTCAGCTCCCTTCATCGCAAAAGGTGCTCCAAAATCTTCTTCATTGCTAAATCAACCTTTAAGATGTTCAGTTTCCTCTTCAAAACACTCCCCTCTGCAGTTTAGCTTCCTGTAAAACCCAAGACCATCAACACTTGAATATTGCTCTCCTATCTCCAAGGTTTATACAGCAACTTTCTTGTTCTCCTGTACACAATATCAGGGAAGGATGTGGACTGATCAGTGATCTTCGCGTCACACTCTGTTGCAACATTTCTGGTCTTAATCTAACCACCAATACTTGATTAATCTCCATGTTCCTAGATCTACCCAGGACCCTTCTGCACTGTAGTATCAATATATATACAATGATTGTAAAGACAGGCTTGAGAAATCCCTTATTACTGTACAACCAAAGATCGAGTTCTATCACCTGCTTCTGATACTTGGAAATCCAGGGACCAATTATCAACAAGAAAATAAGAACATAAGAATAGCTAGACAAAAGAGACTAAGGTCCATGCAGTTTGCCTTCCTTCCGTGCACATGTCAAGTCCCAAACTATATATTGTATCCCAAGATGTTATTTCTTAAAATAAATCTATCTAATTTGCTTTTGAAAGAATCAACACTTTCTGCTTCCACTGTCTCCCCAGAGAGCCTGTTCCATACATTTACCACTTGCTCACTGTAATAGTGTTTTGCAGATATGTTTTTAATCCATCCTTCAATCGCAGGCCATGACCTCTGGTTCTACTGTTCTGAACAACATAAAACAGCTTATGTTCTACATTATTAATCACTGACATGATTCAACTTATTTTATTTTTTGTCCCCTAAGTTTGATCAAAAGGGGGGGGGGAGGGAAACAGGGTAAAGAGGCAGTCAGTATAAGTCACTCTAGAATCCTTTTCTGCACTTAACTTCAGCAGTTATTCAAACCCCTCTCAAAAGGATTATTTCCACAGACAAATGTCTACTCTGGATACATTGCACCAAATCTCATCGCTTACTTACCGCATTCACATCCAGGATGAGGAGTTGAACCGACAGCAACCTGTTCGGGAACAAAATGAAGTAAACGTAAATGATTTGAACTCAATTTGAATCAAATTTAAATTTATTATTATTGAGTTTATTATTGAATTGGATATTAATGCTAAGTTATTGAAAGGGTCAGTTGCAATAAGCATAAATCAAAAGTGTTACTTGTACAGAGGAATTCTACAGAGATCCCAATTACAACTGTGGAAGACGCACGTGTGAGACCAAACCATGTCCTGTTGACAGCATTATCTACATTTTGCTCCATGTTTATCTGCTGTGATGAATGAATGGGGCTTTACAACCCCAAACTGCAACCCTACACATCATGTTACTGGCAAGTTGTGGAGTCCTGTAACTCAGTGGTTAGAGCACTCGCTTTGCAAGCGAGAGACCCCGAGTTCAATTCCAGGCAGAGGGCGAAACCTCGGGCAAGTTTCCTTACTCCACACAGAGCCTAATAATAATCCCTCCAAAACCAAAAACAATAATAAATTGGTCATTTTCAATCCACGACTGTTCGTGGGACATTGCTGTGCGCAATTGGCTGCTGCGTTCGCCCACAAATATATACAGTCAACTCACTTCACAGTGTGTTCTGTGAAGCGCTTTGGGACGTCCTCCCGACGTGAAAAGCGCTATATCAAATACAAGGATTATTATTATTATTATTATTAAGTTGGAGGGGGGTGGATGGGGGGCAGATGTGGTGTGTAAGAAATAAATGCATACCAAAGGTGACTGAGTGGGGCATTGCTGACCAGGAATTCGATGACCAACGCCATTCATCCGGATTTAGAAAGCACTTGAAACCAGGATCGCTCTCTTGCTCTCACTCCCACACTCTCTCGACTCCCCAAACCTCCAAACTCTCGAGAAATCTCCGCTCTTCCTTCAGATCGAACGCAAAAACATTCGACTTCCTTAGACTCTGCTCAGGTTTGAGTTTCACTGAATTCTTTTACCCCCAAAAAAACCCCAAAGAAAACACAAATCGAGGCATTGCAATCATTAAAAAGGGACACAAAACACACGGATTTGCCTCAAACTTTATTCCGAGGGAACTGTTGCTTTGGTTTTAGTGTAGTGGGTGAAAACGATGGGTTTTGCAACGATCCCAACGGGTTTGGTGCGCGAAGGGCGTATTACAGCAGCTTTCGCAGTCAGGAGGTGCGCACTTTTCTGGAGGAAGAAGGATAATAGAACATTAGAAAATATGTTCGCAAAGAGGATGCTGTCACCCACCGAACCTGGACAGGGAGAGAGGTGGTGGTGGGGGGGGGAGAGAGAGGTGGTGGGGGGGGGAGGGAGAGAGGTCGTGGTGGGGGGGGGAGAGAGAGAGGTGGTGGGGGGGGGGAGAGGTGGGGGGGGGGAGAGAGAGAGGTGGTGGGGGGGGGGGAGAGAGAGGTGGTGGGGGGGAGGAGGAGAGAGAGGTGGTGGGGGGGAGAGGGAGAGAGGTGGTGGGGGGGAGAGAGAGAGGTGGTGGGGGGGGGAGAGGGAGAGAGGTGGTGGGGGGAGAGAGAGAGAGGTGGGGGGGAGAGAGAGAAGGTGGTGGGGGGGGGGGAGAGAGGTGGTGGGGGGGGGAGAGGGGGGGGGGGGGAGAGAGAGAGGTGGTGGGGGGGAGAGAGAGAGGTGGTGGGGGGGGGAGAGGTGGTGGGGGAGAGAGAGGTGGTGGTGGGGGGAGAGGGAGAGAGGTGGTGGTGGGGGGAGAGAGAGAGGTGGTGGTGGGGGAGGGAGAGAGGAGAGAGAGAGGTGGTGGGGGGAGAGAGAGAGTGGTGGTGGGGGGAAAGAGAGAGAGGTGGTGGGGGGGGAGAGAGAGAGAGGTGGTGGGGGGGAGAGAGGGGAGAGAGAGTGGTGGTGGGGGGGAGAGAGAGAGGTGGTGGTGGGGGGGAGAGGGAGAGAGGTGGTGGTGGGGGGAGAGGGAGAGAGGTGGTGGGGGGAGAGGAGAGGTGGTGGTGGGGGGGAGAGGAGAGAGGTGGTGGGGGGGAGAGGAGAGAGGTGGTGGGGGGGAGGGGGGGTGGGGGGGAGAGAGAGAGAGGTGGTGGGGGGAGAGAGGATGGTGGTGGGGGGGGGGGAGAGGGTGGTGGGGGGAGAGGAGAGAGGTGGTGGGGGGGGGAGGAGAGAGGTGGTGGTGGGGGGGGGGAGAGAGAGGTGGTGGGGGGGGAGAGAGGGGTGGTGGGGGGAGAGAGAGGAGGTGGTGGGGGGGAGAGAGAGAGTGGTGGGGGGTGGGGGGGAGATGGAGAGAGGTGGTGGGGGGGAGAGAGGAGGTGGTGGTGGGGGGGAGGGAGAGAGGTGGTGGTGGGGGGGAGAGAGGAGGTGGTGGGGGGGAGATGGAGAGAGAGGTGGTGGGGGGGAGAGAGGAGGTGGTGGGGGGTGGTGGGGGAGATGGAGAGAGGAGGTGTGGTGGGGGGGGGGAGAGAGGAGGTGGTGGGGGTGGTGGGGGAGATGGAGAGAGGAGGTGGTGGTGGGGGGGAGAGAGGAGGTGGTGCGGGTGGTGGGGGAGATGGAGAGAGGTGGTGGTGGGGGGGGGGAGAGAGGAGGTGGTGGGGGAGAGAGGAGGTGGTGGGGGTGGTGGGGAGATGGAGAGAGGGGTGGTGGGGGGGGGGGAGGGAGAGAGGTGGTGGTGGGGGGGGGAGAGAGAGGTGGTGGTGGGGGGGGAGAGAGGAGGTGGTGGGGGGTGGTGGGGGAGATGGAGAGAGGTGGTGGTGGGGGGGGGGAGAGAGGAGGTGGTGGGGGGGAGATGGAGAGAGGGGGTGGTGGGGGGTGAGGGAGAGAGGTGGTGGTGGGGGGGGGAGAGAGGAGGTGGTGGGGGGTGGGGGGGGGAGATGGAGAGAGGTGGTGGGGGGAGAGAGGAGGTGGTGGTGGGGGGGTGGGGAGAGAGGTGGTGGTGGTGGGGGGGGGATGGAGAGAGGAGGTGGTGGGAATGATCCAGAAAACAGGGACTTCGTGGCTCCTTACTAGGATTTGTGTGCATTTCGGAGGGGAAACACAGTGGCTGTTGGTTTCCCATCAGAAATTGACCACTTGGTTTACTTACGGTTGGGGTGACGGTGATGGTGGTGATGGTGATGGTGATGATGGTGATGGTGGTGATGGTGGTGGGGGGGCAATGTAGGGACAGACCCTCCTCAGCTCCCTGGTCTTCCCATGGTTGGGGAGGGGGGGGGGGGGGGAGACACTCGTCAGAAGCCGCTACAGAAGTCACCATCCAAATACCCCCTTCCCCCCCCCACCCCCCAAAACAACCCCCAGTGGTCTTCTTCTCTTCACCGATGTTCAAGAGGAGAAACAATCCACAAAGTCGGGACACTCACTCTTGTCGGTTCGCTCTCACACCGACCCGTCTGCACACCGGCAAATACAGCTGTTTCATTATTTTTGTGTGTGTGGGGGGGGGAGTGTGTGTGGGGGGGGGGAGTGTGGGGGGGGGGAGTGTGTGTGGGGGGGGGGAGTGTGGGGGGGGGAGTGTGTGTGGGGGGAGTGTGTGGGGGGGGGAGTATGTGTGGGGGGGGAGTGTGTGGGGGGGGAGTGTGGGGGGGAGTGTGTGTGTGGGGGGGAGTGTGTGTGTGGGGGGGAGTGTGTGTGTGTGGGGGGGGGGAGTGTGTGTGGGGGGAGTGTGTGTGGGGGGGGGAGTGTGTGTGGGGGAGGGAGTGTGTGGGGGGGGAGTGTGTGGGGGGGGGGAGTGTGTGTGGGGGGGGGAGTGTGTGGGGGGGGAGAGGGTGGGGGTGTGAGGTGTGTGAGGTGGTGGGGGTGAGGGGGTGGTGTGTGTGGGGGTGGGGGGTGGTGGGGGTGTGTGTGGGGTGGGGTGGTGTGTGTGGGGGGGGGGTGTGGTGGGGGGGTGTGTGAGGGGGGTGGTGTGGGGGGGGGTGGTGTTGTGTGGGGGTGGGGGGTGTGGTGGGGGGGGGTGTGTGGGGGTGGTGTGTGTGGGGGGGGGGTGGTGTGTGGGGGTGGGGTGGTGTGTGAGGGGTGGGGGTGGTGTGTGTGGGGGTGGGGGGTGGTGTGTGAGGGGGTGGGGGTGGTGTGTGGGGGGGGGGGGTGTGGGGGTGGGGGGGGTGGTGTGTGAGGGGGTGGGGGGTGGTGTGTGGGGGTGGGGGGGTGGTGTGTGAGGGGTGGGGGGGTGGTGGTGAGGGGGGTGGGGGTGGGGGTGTGGTGTGGTGGAGGGGTGGTGTGTGAGGGGTGGGGGGGTGGTGTGTGAGGGGGTGGGGGGTGTGGTGGGGGGTGTGGTGGAGGGGTGGTGTGGGGGGGTGGTGTCTGTGTGGGGGTGGGGGGGTGTGGTGGGGGGGTGGTGTGTGTGGGGGGGTGGTGTGTGTGGGGGTGGGGGGGTGGTGTGTGTGGGGGTGGAGGGGTGGTGTGTGAGGGGGTGGGGGGGTGGTGTGTGAGGGGGTGGGGGGTGTGGTGTGGGGGTGAGGGGGAGTTTGTGGGATACACTCAGGGGTGGAGCCAACGAGTTGCATTGTATTGTGAGATTGTATGATTTCTTGGGTTATTGTGGATCAAAAACAAATGGGAGACTTGACGGAGATTCAGCGGCACTCGTTGAAGACAGGATAGCGCTCTGTCTCTCTGTCTGTGTCTCTCCATCCCTCCCTCTGTCTGTTCTCTCCATCCCTCCCTCTGTCTGTGTCTCTCCATCTCTCCCTCTGTCTGTTCTCTCCCTCCCTCCCTCTCTCTGTCTGTGTCTCTCCATCTCTCCCTCCCTCCCTCTCTCTGTCTGTGTCTCTCCATCTCTCCCTCCCTCCCTCTCTCTGTCTGTGTCTCTCCATCCCTCTCTCTCTCTGTCTGTGTCTCTCCCTCCCTCTCTCCGGCTGTGTCTCTCCATCTCTCCCTCCCTCCCTCCCTCTGTCTGTGTCTCTCCATCCCTCCCTCCCTCTCTCTGTCTGTGTCCCTCCATCTCTCTATCCCTCCCTCCCTCTCTCTGTCTGTGTCTCCCCCTCCCTCTCTCTCTGTCTGTGTCTCCCCCTCCCTCCCTCTCTCTCTCTCTGCGCCATCCTCATCGCCCTCCTTCCAACAAGGCTCGGTACAGCGATTGAACCTCGACCACCTGGAGCAGCCATCACCCCCCCCCCACCCCCACCCCACCCACTGCACCCGCCCAGAGATGTCACCCGAGCCACCGCTCCCGACGCTGACTCTCAGCTGCCTGTCCCTGATCCTGTCCCTGCAGAGCCCCTCCATGCAAGCGGTGAGTTGGTTGACTTTTCTCCCCTGGGTGGTGGTTGTTGTTGTTGTTGTTTTTGCCCCCACCCCCTCCCCCCCTCCCCCCTCCCCCCCCCCCAGTCCACCGGGAGGGTTTCGTGACCAGAGACGGTTCCTCTCTGGAAGCTCACGGTGTCCTGTGTCTGGGGGCCGCTCGGACCCCTTGGAAATAAGTGTAGGACGATTGCGGAACGATGGCTGTGTTCTCCATCGACTGGTGTGAACGCTGTGGACTTCATTGTAATAATAATAATAATAATAATCCTTTTCGCGTCGGGAGGACGTCCCAAAGCGCTTCGCAGAACACACTGTAAAGTGAATTGACTGTATGTTTGTGGGCGAACGCGGCAGCCAATTGCGCACAGCAGTCGTGGATTGAAAATGACCAATTTATTATTGGTTTTGGTTTTGGAGGGATTATTATTAGGCTCTGTGTGGAGTAAGCAAACTTGCCCAAGGTTTCGCCCTCTGCCTGGAATTGAACTCAGGTCTCTCACTTGCAAAGCGAGTGCTCCAACCACTGAGCTACTGGACTCCATTGCACGATCTCACTCTCTTTCTCTCTCTCTGTCTGGTGTCTTTGAGCTGTGCAGTGCAATGCTGAGAGCGGAAAGCAACCAGACATTCAACAACTTGCATTCACATAGCTCCCCTCCAACGCCAGGGAGGCGCCTCAGAGCGCTTTGACAGCGCAGGAAGGAATCTCGTATCGTAGAAGTGTCACACGGGGTCGGCCTGGCGCTGTGGGTAGCACTCTCGCCTCCGAGTCAGAAGAGGTCGTGGGTTCAAGCCCCTCGTCAGGATTTGGAATCACAAGATGACACTCCAATGCAATGCAACGCTTGGGGTGTGTTGTTTTGTTGGAGGTGCCGTCATTCAGATGAGACATTTAAACCGAGCTCCCATTCTGCCTGTTCAGATGGACGTTAAAGATCCTGTGGCACTATTAAAAAAGAGAAGTGAGTCTTCCCTGGTGTCCCGACCAACAATCCCCCAAATAAAATTGGTCACTCACTGCATGGCTGTTTGTGAGACATTGCTGCGCGCAATTAACTGGTGCGTTTAGCCCACAAAATACAGTCATTCCACTTTACAGTATATCCTGTGAAGTGATTTGAGACGTCTCAACAACTTGATAAAGCACCATATCAAATGCAAAGATTATTACTTTATAGAAGTTTGGATCAAGTGCGTCTGCATCTCTCTACGTCTCTCTCTGTATTGTCTGTGTGCCTATCGACTCTCACTGTTTCTGTGTGTGTATGTCTTATTTGTGCCTGCACTGGGGGAGGTCTGAACTGCAAATCAGCATCTGTTGGGGACGGATCTGACCTGTCGCAGAAGGAATGCTGTGATCGGTAGCGTTTTTGTCATTGGGTCAAGTCTGTGTGCTTCAGCATCACATCCTGTTGTAAACCTGCTTTAATTCAATAAGGAGATGAGCCCTGGGGTTTACACCTTTCAATGGCCATTTAACTCCTCGCATTTGATACAGAGCCTTATCACGTCATCAAGATGTCTGAAAATGCTTCATAGGATATACTGTAAAGTGGAGTGATTGTATATTTCATGGGCGAAATGCAGCAGCCAGTTGAGCACAGGATGTCCCACAAACAACCATGGAGTGAGTGACCAATTTTATTTGGGGGATTTTTGGCCAGGAAACCAGGAGAAACTCCCTTCTTATTTCAAAAAGTGCTATGAGATCTTTAATGTCCACCTGAACAGGCCGACAGAACCTCGGTTTAACATCTCATCTGAAGAATGCCATCTCCGACAATGGAAAACCCTCCCAGTACTGCATTGGAGTGTCATTTCATTTTATGTGATTCCAAGCCCCGATGTGGGCCTCGAACCCACAACCTTCTGACTCAGAGGTGAGAGTGCGACCACTGAGCCAGACTGACACACTTTATTTATTTGGAAACCAAAAGATTCGGAGAGGATTTGGTAACAGAGAAACTAATTGTTCTAATCACTGAGTTACAAGATGTGTGGGCAGTGACTGATAACTACTGTATCATTCATTTAGATTCTGTGGGACATCCTTCAGACGTGAAAGGCACTCTATAAATGTAATTTTGTTGTTGTTGTTGTTGAAAGGGTTTATGTTTGCTGTCAGTTGCTTCTTCTCCAGAAATCATGTTGTGGCTGTTTCCGAGATGAACACCACAGGCTGTAAAACAATCCCGAGGTTTTGTTGATTAGTTTGGTTATTGCCACACGTTCTCTTGTTGCTGCAGGCAGAACGAGTGGCATTTTGAAAAGGGTGCAGATCCCTCAGACCTTTATTTTGAATGGTCTGGTCTGGAGTTGAGGCAGCCAGCATCCTCAGGTAATAGATGCAAGTATGGAGAATAAGCGTCACTGTGTTGTGTGACAGCAGCGGGTAATATTAAGACACTGGAGAAATAGAGACATTGTGGTAATAGAGACACTGGGGTAGTAGACACTGGGGTAATAGAGACACTAGGGTAAGAGATGCACACTAGGTATTAGAGGTACCTGCATAGTAAAAGTTATTTGTGACTGTATTTTTAATTACTTTATAATGTTGCTCAAGCTTGACAGGCAGACAGGCAGGCAGACAGACAGGCAGGCAGACAGGCAGGCAGACTGGCAGATTGACTGACAACAGATAGACTGGCTAATAGGCAGATGGACTGACAGATAGATAGAAAGACAGACGGGCTGGCAGACAGGCATGTAGAGTGGTAGATCTATCCTGTACTTGTCTTACAGGTACCACACGTCCAGAATAATGTTGCCAATATCTGTGAAAGATGAAGGAGGAAAAATTACACTTGGGCTTGTGTTTAATTTACATATGTAACATTTCAGAGAGACCAGAATTTGGAAGATTCTTAAGCAAACCAAAGAGAGGGAAGTTACACGTTGCTTTAGAATGAACAACCTCCTCATTTGTACTCCAAAGCGTGTGAGATTTTAAATGTTGTCATAAAAAGTGGTCTTTTAGCGTCACACATGACACTCCATCGCCATTAATTGAGATTAATACTAAAATTAGACTAACTACCCAAAACATATTGTGAAGCCAGTAGATAAAGCAGACAGTGCTAGAAAATCAGTTACACTGACATTCTACAACACTTTCCATACTTTCCTCAACTTTTGTGGAACATTTTGCCTTGGATTGTCGAAAGATTCCCGAAACTGAAATTGCTAGAAACTGGGAGGGGGTTGGGAATTTTCCTCTGTGGGAGCGTTAAATAGTTGAGTGCTCACCCGCAATCAAAGGAACAGGGCCTGGAAATGATGGGAAATAAAAGCACATTTTAAGTCTTCAGTAGAAAAGGTAATTAAACTATATTATCTTTTTACATTGCAAAAGAAAAATAAGATAATTAGATGATTTACCTTCACAATTGTGTATGTGTGTATATATATATACATACATATAAGTAAAACTCACATAAATCTTTTCTGCATAATCGGATAATCACCTAAGTCGTTCATGAACCCAAGTCCCATTCAGTTTCCAACCAAACAACATAGATTTCTTTACACTATTTGCATTTTATAAGCAAATCATCTCCTAAATTGTATGCCGCTCCCCTATCCTCCATGATTCCTGCACTCACCGGCTGCATTGAATCACATGGGTATGTAGTCTTGATCCGTCGCTGCTTGTGCAAAAGAACTTCATTTCCCGCGATTCAATGCGCTTCCAATGCTTGCTGGTAAGTGTACACAAGGCGATGGGTTAAGACATTGAATCACATGAAACCTAATCTTGACCCTCCACCCCATGCACACATATCGGCTGCATTGAATTACGCATGCACAGTGTAGATTATTGATTAAAGCTCCCGACGTGAAAGGCTTTCTATAAATGTCATTTTTGTTGTTGTTGTTGTTGTTAAAGCGGATTTTGTACAATTCATACAAGTTTGCCTGTAACTCGGACTTTGCTGAAGTCATGTTAAATGTTATGTTCCCAACTGATATGACTTATGTGAGTCATATCAATTGGGATATGTATATAGTCTAAACAGTATTAGAAGAATAAACACTTGACTTAGAATCAATCCATGGCAGGAACCTGTGCAGGATCAGCCTAAAAGGGCTGCGGTATATCTGCTGGATTACACTAGGGGCTGTTCCCAAATCCCGCCAGACTGGGGGTCAACATATTAGAAAGTGATCAGACTAGGTATGTCCTTGAGCTGTATGGAAGGAGGGTTGATTGAAGACCAGCATAGCCAAAAGATTGGTGTGGAGTGGAGTGATACTGAAAAGGATGGCTGCCCAGATTTCAGAAATTGCAAGAGATCAAGGAAATGTCACAAGGTAAAATTGGCCACAATCCTACAATGGCAGATTTGGGAGTATTGTGAGCGTAGGAGCCCACTGAACAGATGGTCATACCACAGTTAAGGATTTCCACAGCCTGACACTTGCAAGTGTCTAAATCCACTCTTTTAAACCACCTCCTCAGATCATGCACAGTGCGAGCTCAGATATTTATAATTACTATGTTCATGTCTACACAGATGATCCATCCACGTGCAAAACCATGATTGGACAAAGAACCCACTGTCATGTCTGAGGAGGAAGTAGATGGATCCTAAAATCCTCTTCAGAGGAAAGGCACAAGATGGCATCCTCCAGCTTCAAAGAATCAACTACCAGGGGCTTAACGTACCACAGAAAGAATAGCACAATACCAAGATATTGGAGAAGGTGCCTAAATAAAATAAAGGAACATCTAGTCACCTCACCTAGTACTGTAGAACCCACAATCAATAAGAATGTTCTTAATTGCCTAGCTTGCTAATACCATTACCTAATAGCTCAATGATCTTACAAACTTGGCAGGGCAGATTGGTTACATCTTCAATCTGTTGGAAGAGTTTATTTGCAACCCACCACCCTTCCCCAAGCAACTCTGGAACAGCCCCATCCCAAGCTCCTTAGTCAACCTGGCAGGATACTTGGATCAGCCTTGAGTGCCCCCAGTGACTAATGCGCTACTTCCATTCAGCAAATGACCTTCTGCAGGTTCCTACCAGGGAATATATTTCCAAGTGCACTTTTTTTTAACAAAGTAAAGTTTGTAAGTAATTCACTCATTTATCTTTTACAATGAACGTGTGTTAATAAACCATTCATTTCCATTACTTCTGCATTCAATCTCTTCTTCCTCAAAGCTAGTTACATTGCACAGCTACCAAAACACAGGAGTTGATGACATCTCATATCTTGCGCTCAGTTTCTGGAATGTTTTGGCACATATGGTGTTCTCTTAACCTCTGTGTTTTAACTTTCACAATGCATGACAATACACACAATATACAACACATAAGAGGTGGCTTCCCTTGTTCTAATTCATCTGTTAAAAATGCATCCAGTATACTTTCAATTTGTATTAACTTTTTGGGGACCCTTTAACTCAAGTGTATCATGGATTGAAGTTTAAAAATGTGATATATTGCATAGACAACAACGTGCATTTATGTAGGGCCCCTCACTCAGGATAGCGTCCCAGAGCACTTTATTAACAAACTTACCGAAATGCATCAGAGTTGCATTGTAGTGAATGCTTATGACTCTATATTCCAAGTACTCATAATAGATTCATCGATTGGTTACCATGTTTGGGTGTGAGAAGGTAACCAGATCACAATTTAGTAACAGCCCTTCCTGCTGATTTCACACGTTGGCACATCTTCAAAGGTTGAAAGAGTTAGGACTTTACCACTGTATTTCCTCGCAATCAAAAATGAGGGGGAGGGTTGTATGGGGAAAAAATACAGAGTGGTGGGGGGAGGGGGGGCGGGATTTGCTTGTTCTGTGGGAGGACATCTCATTGTAATGAGATCCTATATGAAGACATATTTATTTGCTCCAGCGTTCTGTATGATCCAAGAGGATCATTGTAGCTGCTCAATCTTGCACAATGTAAGAGTATTGTTATGGCCTCTAAACCGTTTGTTATGTCAGGTTAGTTCTGGAACTTTATGTTATTCCAACACTTGTTTTCAGTAATTCCATTATGCCTCCCAACAATCACCTTTCAGAGTGACCCGGTGACATTTGGACTAGTTGGTTCCATGGAACATTTGAACTCAGTTTTACATGCAGTTCCTCCATTCTGTGACCACTACTTCTTGATTTATGTCATCTTTCGCTTACTCCTTTCAACCTTGTATTATCCTCTACAAGGCAGGGAAGTAACCAGGGAACTGAACTGTCTTGGAACTAAACTGGCTCCAAGGTGAGATGCTTGGCAACAGAATGTTAGAATTGAGTCAATGCTCGCAGTAGTCAGGTTTCTGACCTTCAGTAATCCAGGGTAGTGCTGATCACAGACCAGCCAGTTCGGCTCATTGGTAGGACTTAAAGGGGTACATTTGGGGCAGGGATTCTTCCCATTCAGCTCTTTCAGCCAAAGCCCTAACAGACAAGCAGTGGGAAAGCTTACCAGACAGTGCTTTCAATGGCAAGCTGTGCATTTGTGCTGGTTAAACTCCAGCAGTACCTCAAAGGACACCCTGGGTTCCCCAGCTTGGATCTTGCCAGACTGTGCCTAAAACGCTGCAGAATCAGATAAGCAGGATGCATCCCTCCATGGAGAGTGCACATTCTATTCCAATGCATGGGAATTTCAATGGGCAGAAGGTGGGATGTATTGAACAGGTTTGAATACTGTTAAGCATGGTGATGTGTTTCCCAATATGTCAGATACTCAGCTGACAAAAAAAAACAGTCTTGTAATGCACCGTAGGGTTGGTTTCTTAAAATGTAAAAACTCATTAGTAACTGAAGTTATTTATTCAGCAGTGGTAACAAAATCAATAAAATTATAGAGATTAGAGCACAGTAAGAGACCGCTCAGTTCATCCTTCCAGTGATCCATTAGCTCCCTAATGGAATAATAATAATAATAATCCTTACATTTGACATAGCGCTTTTCACGTCTTCTCGACGTCTCAAAGCACTTCACAGAATAGACTGTAAAGTCAATTGACCATGTATTTGTGGGCGAAACGCAGCAGCCAATTGGAATTGCCCATTCTGTTTCCTATTCCCTGCTTTTGCCCCATAATCTTTTGTATCTTCATTTGTTATCTTATTCCGTGAATCCCATTTGATTCAAGTTCAGTAATGACGTGTATGATATGTTCCACGTCCTAATTACCTGTTGTATAAAACCAGTATAATCTTCCCCATTAGGCTTCCAGTAACATTCTTGAGTTACCAATTTATCAATAAGTGGGAACAATCTGACTGTTTGGAAATGTAGCCATGAATCAGAGCATAGTGTTTGATTCAAAAGCTTCGGACTGAATATTAGTTCTACCCATCCGGTCTGATTATCTCTGAGAGAAATCGGAATTTGCCTGTTTTTTGATGCTTTCAGGTTTCCCCATCAGATAGCTGACCTGGGATTTAAAGCATAATTACATCTCTGCTTTGTTACAGTCTCTTAGGCTCTGGCATGGAATTGGCTTTGCATTTTGCTTTCAGCAGCTGATGACACTGATAGCTGTGGAACTTCAGGCACATCTACTTGTGCTGTGCAGCTGTAGTTTTGTGCATAGGACCTTTACCTAGAGGAAATGCTGAAGAGAGCAACACAGCTAGAGGGATGCATCATAAGGAATAAGTGGTTCAGCTTCAAGTTTGAAAAGAGACATCTTAGAGGGGATCTTACAGAGATATATAAGATTATAAATGGGTTTGAGAAAATAAACTCAGACAATATTTTCAGATATGCTAAGGCGATAGGACTACAGGACATAAATCGAGGGTTGGTGAAGGGAATTTTAGGATGCACATCAGGTAATATTTCTATACATACCAAGAAGGGTGGTAAAAGCCAGCAAACTAGACTTGTTTAAGAAACAGCTTGATGCTGCAATAGGAAGACAGCAGGGGAGGTGTTTTGAAAGGATTAGGTCAAATGAACCAAAGAGTCTTCTTCCATTATTACCTCTTGTATTTTTACGTGGCTTGCGTTTGCCCCATATTGTCCTGCCCTGCTTTCCCTAACCTTATAACCCTCCATACCCGCCTTTACCTAAATACTTTAAAGGGTTTGTTCCTGGCACCAAACCACCTCTTGTATCTCATTTTGCAGTAACATGGCAAGTAATGGTGAAAACATTTGCTATTGCAGTATTTCCTGAAAAAACTTGTGTGGCAATGGGATATCCAGGAAAAAGTCATTGTACCAAACTGACACACAAGTAACAAAAACAGAGAGCTGGGAAAACTCAGCAGGTCAGGCAACATCTATAGGGAAAGGAAAGTGAGTCAATATTTCGGGTCCATGACCCTTCGTCAGAACTTCTGACCCGAAACTTTGACTCACTTTCTCTATAGATGCTGCCTGACCTGCTGAGTTTTCCCAGCTCTCTCTGTTTTTGTTTTAGATTCAAGCATCTGCAGTATTTTGTGTTTTGACACACGAGTATTATTAGTTACCTCTAAATCTTAGAAATAATAAAAAGACAAAGTGTAAATCCTGGAAAAATTAAATAAAAAAAGGACTCTGTTTGACCCTCTACTCAATTGCGCATAACAATGTCCCACAAACAGCCATGAAGTGAGTGACTAATTTTATTTGGCCAAGACACCGGGAGTAGCCATTTCTCTCTTTTCAAATAGTGCCATGGTGTCTTTAGCGTCCATTTTGAACAGGAGTTGACTTTGTTACCATTCCTGTGTTAAGACATTTATTTCAATAGTGTCAGAAGTGGATTTTAACATCACAAGTGAAAGCCTGGTGATACTGTCTAACAAAGCGATAATCTCTCCCTCCGCACACCTTGCTGTACTGCTCAGTTGCTAGCCTAAAAAGGTCATAAGTGTCTTGAACCTGCATAAACCTACAGTACTGGTGGCGGAAACAAGGAATTATAAATGGTTTCAAAAGAAATCTAGATAGGTTCTTGGGATTTATGAAGGGATTGAGTGCCATTAGATAATGAAGGAATCTTTTGAGAAGTTGGGTAGACAGCTGAATGGTCTGCCCTTCCCTGAAATGATGTTGCAATGAATGCAGTCTCTTCTTTCAGATATTCAACCAGCTTATTTTATTTTGAGAATCCAATTGCTGAGGATTTTTTCAGTAAATATTGGCATACTGTGAGTTTGGAGGATTTGTCTCCGAGATTGAGTGTCCGTCACCTCCCAAGAGCCGCAAATTCTACCTTCCGCACTCTGAGCCTGGTTGTCCTAAATCTATTGTTTGAGGCAGGTGGGTTCCACCCATGAGACTATTGGTACTAAATACGCAAACATAACAAGGGTCAAAGGGTCCCATTTCCAGTTCATTACAGTAGATGAATCTAACTCCTGAAAACATGTTGAGGCTGAGTCACTATTCACCATGGGTGGTAAATTGCTTTGCAAGAATGCAAAAAATGCCATTCTTATAAAAAAAATCAAATGTGCTCACTTCTGGAGAGAGATTCAACAATGACACAACAACAATAATTTGTATTTATATAGCGCCCTTCACCTGGGGCACTGTCTCAAAGCTTTAACAGTGGTGGAGTTACTTTACTTATGTAGCATTCTGAAATGCTACATGAGTAAAGTAAATCTAGATCCAGATTCCATCAAGGGTAAGATTTAGATTACTTATGTAGCATTTCAGAATGTCCAGAATTTGACAAATTCTTAATTTCAGCCTTAATTTTTGAAGCCATTTTTCTCTCAGTTACTTCTAGAACTACAGGAATGATGTACCAGTGGCCCAGCTCACCAATGAATATAGATTGGTTGCGACAGATATTCAAGGCTAGAGATAGGCCCAATCATTTCTTCTGTGCTGACATTTCCATACCTATATGTAGTCTGTGCTCAGGGTAGGCTTAGTAACATTCTGGTGAACCTGCGCAGCACCCCGTCCAGGGCAAGATAGACTTTGTCTGGGGTCACATGGACCTGCTATAGTGTCCTGACTAATCTGCATCACCAGGTAACTTAGTATAGACCAGAAATGGTGTTTGGGAATTTCTTGATCTGTTAATCTCAGTACTGCACCAGACAATGCAATGAGCCAGAACTCAAAGCGATCCACCAATCAACTAACAACCAGGTTCCTACTTACTGCTTGGTAAACAGAGGCGTGTGGAGTAAGGAAATTGCCTAAGGTTTCATCCCACCC